TCCATTGTATTGTGGACAAAGAATTCTGATAACAAAGACTTGTGATAGTGGTACAGAATAGAGATAGCCCCTGAATCTCCGAGCTCCCATCACAGAATCAATAACAGCCTATATAGCCAAGCTTCAATTAATTTCAAAAGAAAGAAATATTTTAATCATTGCCAATTTGGGAAAAGGCATTGTCTGTTATTTATTCCAAAAGATTAATAGTGATTAAAAATGTAGAGTGAGGTTGCAATTATTTTCAGAGGAATAAAGATACAAGGATGTAATGTATGTAGTTTGAGGTATGATAGGTTTATGCTATTGGAGAAAATACTGTAGCATGTTGTTGTACCATTCATTGTGTGTAAAAGATGACATGTACAATGCGCCTCATCAGGTGAGGATTTCCAATCAAGATCACACATTTCAATAGCCAAACATGTACTGCAAGCATTCTATATATGGACATGCTCATGCATAAATGCATGTCCATTATCAGTAAATTTGACTAACGAGATGAAGTTTTTGGCCGTTAAGTGTGACACTCTGTCACAGAATTTTTGTGTGTTCACTTTTTCTGATACATACAAAGTTATTTGTTGGTTGGTTTTATCTTTGTGGATTTTGAAAACAGCCTTAATTTCTGAATCTATGTTTTCTGTTTTGTTGCTCTTCTCTTTCTGCCTGAATTGTATACGAAAGCTCTATAAACTTTATATATTCTGTACTGTGATATGGTAAACAGTTGGCTCTGCTTGTTTGACATTTTATAATTACTACCACAAACCTGTAATTACATGCTGCAGGCACAATCTGACAGTATGACAATCACATATGCACATCCACCATGATTTTTTTTGGTCACAGAAATGTTTGGATAGTATCCAGAGAAATGACCTTAACCTGCCAATAATTAATGATTTGGCACAATATTGTTGAAATATTGACTACATAATGGGGTTATCCAGGACACAAAATTGCACAGAATACCTGTACTGGTTACAGGTTAAGTGGAAACAAGCATATCTATTGAACTGTGTAAAATTTCATCCATAGTTCTTTTACTATTTCACCTACTACTGTACAATTCTGGACATCCTTTATGAAGATGCTACTGTACCATTCAGGACATCCTTTATGAAGATGCCACTGTTCAATTCTGGACATGCTTTATGAAGATGCTACTGTTAAATTCTGGACATGCTTTATGAAGATGCTACTGTTAAATTCTGGACATGCTTTATGAAGATGCTACTGTTAAATTCTGGACATGCTTTATGAAGATGCTACTGTTCAATTCTGGACATGCTTTATGAAGATGCCACTGTTCAATTCTGGACATGCTTTATGAAGATGCTACTGTTAAATTCTGGACATGCTTTATGAAGATGCTACTGTTAAATTCTGGACATGCTTTATGAAGATGCTACTGTTAAATTCTGGACATGCTTTATGAAGATGCTACTGTTAAATTCTGGACATGCTTTATGAAGATGCTACTGTTAAATTCTGGACATGCTTTATGAAGATGCTACTGTTAAATTCTGGACATGCTTTATGAAGATGCTACTGTTCAATTCTGGACATGCTTTATGAAGATGCTACTGTTAAATTCTGGACATGCTTTATGAAGATGCCACTGTTCAATTCTGGACATGCTTTATGAAGATGCTACTGTTCAATTCTGGACATGCTTTATGAAGATGCTACTGTTAAATTCTGGACATGCTTTACAAAGAAGCTAATGGTAAATGCTGGACATCAAGATGGTACAGATAAATTCTGGACATGCAGAAGGAAATGTTTTGAAATCTGTTTCTGAAAAAAAACTCTAAAGGATCAAATACAATTATGTAAACCATACACAACATTAGCACAGATAAATTATCACCATTGGTAATATGTTGGTTTTTGAGATGTTTTGTTCCAGGAAATGAGATATTATTAATGTTATTGCTACACTCCACTTATAAATGCTATACTCGGCTAACACAGCTGATGGATAGCAGCCTAATGATAAAATGTGTTAAAACTTGGTTATCCTTATTACGACCCATCTGTCCATTCACTTCTGGTAATGACAAGAAATTCACTTTGGTGTCAAGTCAAGCTGATTAGTATAATTGTGTAGATTTTTGCTCAATCAAAAGGTAATTAAGATGTTCATCGTTTGTGAGACAAAGTATACCTTAACATCCCATAGATACTAATAGAAGTTAACTTCTCAATAGCCAACCAATAAGACAACAGCTACATAGAGAAGTTTATACTATTTTGAATTATCATTGAGGGAGGGGGTTGTGTCCAACTTTTGCTCTGTAAATATTGTGGGGTCTGATTTTTTTTCCTCTCCACTTATGTATAACTTTAGACCAGATGCTGGAATCTTAATTTGTCCTATGGTATACAATTTTATACTTCTCTATATACTAGCTACCATAGATACAGAACAGATGTGTAAGGTCAAATAAGGTTGTAGTTGTGTACAATGTATATGTATGTAGGATGTCTGGACAGAAACCAGCTGGTCACTGATCTTCTGGACAACATTTGAAACGGGTTAGTTGAAATCAGGGTTGTGGTTGTATGTACACAGAAGCCAGCTGACTCCTGACTTTATGGTGAACATTTAAACAGGATTAGTGTTAGATCAAAGTATAAATACTTTCAGTCTGGTTTTTTATGAATACATTTAAACAAAAGCTGTAGTTGTTGTTTTAATCATTGACAGTTCATATTTTAACATCAACATCGAAAAGAATACTTTTGCACACTTCATTCCAATAGTGCTGTCAACATTCATTCACAGTACTTTATGAACAAATTCAGTTTTCAAGGTTTGTTTGCTTAATTGTCCAGTCAACAGCAATAATATTAAGGCAAGGTGTCCCTTTAGTGACTGGTGGCTACCTCACAGAACACCATACAGAAGGCCCATGACATGCTTCTAGAGTCAATGAGGTAAAGTACCATGCCCAAGGACTGAACCATGAAAGAAAAGATCTGTATGCAATCTCGTCTTTCTCAGACACACCATTGGCCCTGTGTTGTGATAAAACCACACAACTCTGATCTTCACCTCAGACACCCAAATGGCCCTGTTTAGTGATCAAACCATATAATACTGATCTTCACCTCAGACACACTAGTGACCTGTGTAGTGATCAAACCACACAACTCCGGTCTTCACCTCAGACACACTAGTGACCTGTGTAGTGATCAAACCACACAACACCGATCTTCATCTGGAAAACACAAAAAACCCAGGGTACCAATCCAACCATACAATACTGATCTACACCTGAGAAACACAAGTGACCAAGGGTGCAAATCAAACCAAACAACTCTGATCTTCACCTGAGATTGTAAAATGTGATGCTCAGAAATTATAAAGGTTGTTTTAGTTGTGGAATGAAGTGATATATCATTAGTTCTTCAAAATAAACCTTTAGAAAAATCAATTATCATCGACAGAGTTAACATGTAACTTACTGGGAAATTTTTAATTAACTTTAAGTTTCTTAATCAGCATAGTGAGATTGAAAATAAAATGTTTTTTATCCAGCAATTATATAACCTCAATAACCCAGGTTTTAGGCTCTAACTATATATTTATTTTCTATCAGTCATTCTCTTTCTTCTGTATCATGGATGGAATAAATGGATTAATTTGTAGAACAGAAACACTTGAATTTTTCATTTACTGTAGGTTTTTAACTGATATACTAGTTAGAGGAAAGAAAAAAGAACTGTAGGAATTCACTAGGTAACTTCAATGTAAAAATTTGACACCATAATCTTTTAATTTGCAATATGTAAAAACGTACCCATGTGAGGAAGATATTTGTTATCTGAACATACATATAGGCATAGTATAGCTAGGATGTATTGTCTAAGTCTTCAGTTTATACAAAAGATAAAAATAAACTGATTTACTCATCTGTTTCAGCGAGTCTGTTAGTAAACAGAAAGAAAATAGTGTGCTTTAGTCCATGTCTGTCGGTCTTTTTGTGTGAGGATCAGATTTTCTTGTGTGTGACAGATCAGAACTGCGATAAGACCAGGTTTCACCCACACTTGAACAGTTCCTAACCTTAGATGGGTTTACCACAAGTTTATTGACTCACTTCTTGTTTCCTCTACTTCATTTATAGGACTTCCTCCTGAATCAATAACAAATATTTCATTCCTCAGATGTTTGCTTTGGCATTTTAAAACTTCACGGTTCATTCACCATCTGTATTATTTTACACTCACATGTTAGTTAGACAGTCATGAACAAAAATGTGATTTACTAGTAAAAAAGGAATACATGTATATTATGTCAATAATTTTCAGTGATATACCCAAAAATAAGCTTTACTGCAATATTATCATTGTTATACTTCATACAAAAATGTCCTTGGATGGAATGTTGTACAACTCAATACAAAAATGTCTTCTAATGGAATGTTGTACAACTCAATACAAAAATGTCTTCTAATGGGAGGTTGTACAACTCAATACAAAAATTATTTTGATGGGATGTTGTACGTGTATATACCATACAAAGATACCTGTTAATGGGATGTTGCCCACCCTCATATAAAAATATTATTATACAGTGGAATGGTAATACAATTCAACTAATTAAGCTTGTTAACTCAGCATTTTAAGAACTGAAATTTATTGATATGCAAATTTATGCAGAAGCTATCAGGAATATTATACTTAATTACAATGTTCTATCTGGCGGTCTACCTTTATCAACATTTCATCCTGAACTGCACTTTAAGAACAGGAATAGGTTGAATAACTTTATGCAAGACTTACTTATACAAATTCGGGATAAGATACCGGATCTTCATGCATTACACAAACTTAAGTCTCAATAAGAAAGAATGATGTGCAATCTTACAAATTGTTTCGTGATAGTGGAGTATAATAGCACTCCAGAATGATACCATGTAACACCAGCTTTAAGCCTCATTCATGGTCACAGAGAGATCTCCAGTGGTAATCGGCCTTTCAGTAATATGTCACATGCCAGGGAGGGACAGGGGGCCATAGTTAAATACCCAGTAAATAATACAGCCTCACGCACAGATGATCAGATTGAAGTGTGTTCAACACCTGTCTCAGGTGAGCAAACCATGCCCGTTACTGTGAATGTCCTTAAATAAATCAAAATTTACTGGAGGAAAAATTAGGATTAAAAATTCTAATTTTGAAATAAATGTTTGAAATTGTTTTTTGTGATTATGAAATAATTTTGTTGTTAAAGAAAGCTAAGAATGGATAATGTCTGGGTGTTTAAATAGACAAAAAATTTTTTTTATGTTTTGTTATACACAAGAATATCTACCGTAATTGTCCTGTAAGTCAAAGCTGTTCTGATCTCTACAAATTGCAAAGGTAGCGGACAGGTACAAAAAATAGTTTTGTTATATGTGCCAGATAAACTGCCACAGGCTTCAGATTGCAATCAGAAAACCATTCATCATATATCTTAGGTGATCTTTTTGAGAACTGACATAAAAAAGTTGTGGTCTCTAAATCTGTCTAATTTCTTACAAGGTGTTGAAGCTATTGCTGTGTCAGAAAGGTGATCTGCTATAAATTAGCAGGTACAAAGTGGGTACCATCAAAGGTACAAGACTGTGGATGTTTCCTGTGTAAAATAATTACAAATTGCAAATTGGCTGTGTACAGGTGTGAAAACCTAATTGGTGCTGTGAAGACATGATAGAGACTAATCATTTGTAACAAAATACACATGAGTAACATACACATTGTGGTAGAAACATTTTAATACAACTCGTGTACTAACACTTTGTTTATGCGTAGCCAGAAGTTAAAACATACAAAAGCATTTGTGGCAACTTTACAGAAATTCCACATTACCCACGTGTATATATATGGCTTAAAGCATGAAAGAGATTTGGATCCTCTAAGCTTAAAATCAGTTGAGTCATGTGAATTATCTTGGCAATCTAAAGTGACAGTTTTTTGTGTGTTAATTTGACTCATCAATGCCGTTGTCATTCATGCAATGAGGTACTTAGAGTGTAGTTAGTGTGGGAAAAAGAATTAGTGAGTTATAGACAAACATGAGAACATATGTCCATGTATATACATATAGTGTTTAGGATATGTAAATAAACCAAACTCTGGTCTGAGTGACGTGTATTGTGAGCATAAATAAAGCCGCAATAGTAATAATTAACTAAGGTCCCATGGCACAACTACCAACATAGATTTGTAACTGCAAGATTTCCTTATAAGTATGTGTATACCTGAGGCATCCTCCAGTATTACTGATGTAATTGAAATACAATGTTATATATGTGTACCCAGCATACCCTTTACCAAAACAGGGCCTGAAGCCTGTAGAATAATCCAGAGAAATAAAATCAATTTCAGATATTATGATCAAAAACCATGATTTTAATGTCTTTTCCACACACATTCTTTATCATAAAAAACAGGTAACCAGGCTGGATTGTACTGAACAAACTTATGGTAATATAGCTAAGTAATTATACAAGCTTGGGGACAAGGGTGTTGTAATAGTCAATTCTGTGTAATCAGTCTTTGAATGTAAATCGTCAGCCAACTTTGATATGATTTACAGGTCACAGGTAGAATGTCAGGGATAAGATCAGAAAGGGATGCAATCTGATTTTAACAGCATACAAAATATAATATGATATGTAGATGCAACACATATATTTCACTTTGGAATAAAATTTAATCATGTCACCATCTCTTTTCTGACTGATATGATCACTGAGGTGTGCATTGCTCCAAAAATACAAATTACTGAAATAGAGCTATATGTTGTCATTGTGATTGTTGGTTGCAGTAGTTACTGGGATTGATGATTTAACATAAATATAGAAAAAGAACAGAATTTTCAATCAAATTTAAATGAAGTCCAAGTTATTTACTTGTTGTCTCATCTGTGATGAAAAGTATAGAAAGTGAGACTACTGTGCATGCATGTTATTTTTCATATCAACAGCGATGCTCTTGATTTGAATTTTGATCTGCTGTTAAAAAATATAAGGGATGAATTAGAATGGGACTTGAATTATATAATGCTGAAGGTTTAAAGGTAGCTTCAATGGTGACACAACTGTAAGTATGCTACATCAGATATAGATAATTTCCTCATCACATTCCAGTGCCTTGAAGACATATCTAATGCATGTCAAAATTAAGCTTTGGCTTATACAATTTTCTCATTTACTGCATTTGATTCATGAGCTGGGTAGGAAAGTTGATCACAAAGGAATGTAAATGTAGCTTTCCAGGGGAGGTAATCCTAAATCAATCATACTGTTGATTGTTGTCTAATTATCTTAAGAGAAGAATACACTATATTGAAAATAGGGGAAATTACCAGGTCAGAAGTATGATTGTTGACAGTATCAACTTGTACAGTATGTAACCTTTATATTCCTGTATGTATGTTGTAGTCATTTAGGCCTGATGTATATTGTTTCATACAATGTGTTTTAGCATTGACTCAGCACTGAAGTAAAATGAGTGTAGTCATAACCAAACATTAATTATTCATTAAAACTGCTATTTTAGCAGCAAATGATTTAATCTGGTGTATTGATGCATTTCATTGGCGGCCATATGGACCACATGGTTCTGGCCTGCATGTACATGTACAGATTATATTGATATACAGCAACATACAAACTATTGTAGGTTAATAAGGCTGGGTAAGGCTGCATCTAACAATCGGTCATATAGATATCTTAAACAAATATGAAAAGTTCCAGCTAAAGTACCCGGTAATCTTTTTTTGAAATCAAAAGAATGAGACAATTTTGCTATTATTTTACCCCATGTTACATGTAGTAGTTAAAGAGATGATGAATCTTTCTTTCTCTGCTGGATTTAGTGCCTTTACACAGTTTTTAGACAGGTTCTCCTTGTAGTAGCTCTGGTGGATTGCTCACTGAACATAATAAGGGAGGTTCATTGCTTGCCATTTGGGTCCACTATCTTGTCTAATCACACAACCACAACAGCACAGGATGGTTTCTAATTTCGGATCCCTGACAACACACAAACCACCCTGAGAAAGGATCATTGAGCTATTCACCAAACATGTGAAGTATATAATGCTCTATGGACTCAGCTGTCTTGCTTCCCTCTCTGCAATCATCCTAATGAAATTTTGTGATTCAAAACTTTGAAATACCTAAATGGCAAAAAACTTGTCTCCTTATTATCGAAGAAATTCAGTTTCCCACAGAAAATTCAAATTGTAATTATAATCAATTAGAGAAATGAATAGAGCAGTGTTCCGTATAAAAATAGAATACAGGCAGAGGCATTTAGTTATAAAGGGGAAACAATTGGGGCCCTTAGTCCTCTGATACATCTGGTCCTAGCAGAGAGGGTACAATGTTTAAGTACAGGGTACTTTCTTCCTAGACACTGTAGAGTGAGTCTAATCCTTATAGAAAGTATTGTATAACCTAGTATCTAGAGGTAGGGTACTAGTAGTATTCAGAATGATTTTGAATTTGACCTTAAATACAAAAGATGTTTTTTAAGAAGAAGTCTATCTTTAGCAAAACATAAATTGAAAACACTGTTCGTGCTGAAGATAAAAATCTTCTTAAATATATATACTGATGAATCTCATTTTGTACAAAAGATCTTGTTTTCAGATGCAGTGCATGCCCACTATCTGTAAAAATTTTAAGTTCTCGACAAGGATGGAGTTAGTTATCAGTAAGGGACAGCAACAGACAGTTTGTCTGATTTTGTATAAGTAAAAAAGCAGTCATTATTTGTTTCTCTTCAGGTGTTCTCAGTCAAGACTTCTTCCAGGAGCAGGTGTATGGAATTGTAGGTAGTAATGTGTCTATTCCATGCCGGGTGAATGCATCAGGATTTGAACCAAGTCACACTCTGGTCACATGGAAGAAGGACAATATGTTCCTGTTGTCAGCTACTGAAATCACCGGGGAAGATGAAATGAAACTCTCCTACCTGGACCAAAGTCTGGCAACTGGAAACAAGTATGAGGTGTGGACCACTTACAGTCTGGTCGTATCCAGTCTTGTCCTTGGTGATAGCGACAACTATACCTGTACTGTGATAGTGTTTACCGACGACACACAGAGTGCCGAGAAAACTCGTGAAACCAATGTTACCTCACTTCTTGTACAAGGTAGGTAGTAGTTGTATCAACACAAATATTACTTCTGGAAAAAAAGGAGGTGAATTGTATCAAGGGAGATAATTACACACACTTAGTGATATGAGTGTGATAATCATGAAGAGAATCAGTAAAATATGCTATCATTATTTCTTTACTTAGAACATTGCTGGAAATTTGTTTTACAGGAAAGTAAGGAAATTTTCTTGTTTTAGTAATATCTCTTAGAATTTGTGATGGAGTTTCTTGTTAATAGTTTATGTATTTGGACAGTTATAAAAAGCAAACTTGTGAAAGATGTAAGAAATATATGAAATTTACAGAAACAACAGTACATACTTATATAGGTGTGAGTTCATTGACATTTATCTATGACCTGGTTTAATATTTTTACTTAGTACAGGTCAACACACTAAGGTAACTATATCAACTCTCAGAGGTATACCATGAGATTCAGACAGCCAAATAATTAGGTAACATTGATACTTTTACCATTTGATATACACAAAGCCTGCAGTAATTTGTGTAGATGCTGCAGTGGTTTTGACACCTAGGACGGGCATACAAATGTCAGTTCTCACTGTCCTCAAACTTGCACTGACAACTATCAACTAATGGTCCCCCATTAACGTTTCAGATGTTCCCACCATCCCAGGGCGACCAGTCATCACCGACTTGAAGTCGCGAAGCATCACTGTCAGCTGGGCTCACAGTCGCAAGGAAAACAACAGTCCCATATTTTCTTATGTTATTCAAATGAAGTAAGTCAAATAACATAAAAAAATTCCATATTTTCTTATATAAATCTAAGAGTTAACAAGTGGATGACGTTTAAGAAAGCAAAGTGATCCATTTTTGTATCCTGTTGCTATTGTTTAACAATGTCATGTACCTCATGTCAAGATGGTAATGGATAATTAACTCAATATTCCTTAAACAATCAACAAATAAGGGATAAACGATTCAACAATCAAATAACTTATCATCTACTGAAATTGATGGCAATAACATTAGGTGTTCTGTTGGTCAAATTGATGGCAATAACTAATAGGTGTTCTGTTGGTCAAATTGATGTCAATAACTATTAGGTATTGTGGTGGTCAAATTGATGGCAATAACTTGAAGATATTCTGTTGGTCAGCTTGATGGCAATAACTTTAAGGTATTCTGTTGGTCAAATTGATGGCAATAACTACTAGGTATTCTGTTGGTCAGCTTGATGGCAATAACTTTAAGGTATTCTGTTGGTCAACTTGATGGCAATAACTACTAGGTATTCTGTTGGTCAACTTGATGGCAATAACTACTAGGTATTCTGTTGGTCAACTTGATGTCAATAACTACTAGGTATTCTGTTGGTCAACTTGATGGCAATAACTTTAAGGTATTCTGTTGGTCAAATTGATGGCAATAACATTAGGTGTTCTGTTGGTCAAATTGATGGCAATAACTATTAGGTGTTCTGTTGGTCAAATTGATGGCAATAACTATTAGGTGTTCTGTTGGTCAAATTGATGGCAATAACTATTAGGTGTTCTGATGGACAAATTGATGGCAATAACTATTAGGTGTTCTGTCGGTCAAATTGATGGCAATAACTGTTAGGTGTTCTGTTGGTCAAATTGATGGCAATAACTATTAGGTGTTCTGATGGACAAATTGATGGCAATAACTATTAGGTGTTCTGTTGGTCAAATTGATGGCAATAACTATTAGGTGTTCTGATGGACAAATTGATGGCAATAACTATTAGGTGTTCTGTTGGTCAAATTGATGGCAATAACTATTAGGTGTTCTGTTGGTCAAATTGATGGCAATAACTATTAGGTGTTCTGGTGGACAAATTGATGGCAATAACTATTAGGTGTTCTGTCGGTCAAATTGATGTCAATAACTGTTAGGTGTTCTGTTGGTCAAATTGATGGCAATAACTATTAGGTATTCTGTTGGTCAAATTGATGTCAATAACTACTAGGTATTCTGTTGGTCAAATTGATGTCAATAACTACTAGGTATTCTGTTGGTCAGCTTGATGGCAATAACTTTAAGGTATTCTGTTGGTCAACTTGATGGCAATAACTACTAGGTATTCTGTTGGTCAAATTGATGTCAATAACTACTAGGTATTCTGTTGGTCAACTTGATGGCAATAACTTTAAGGTATTCTGTTGGTCAAATTGATGGCAATAACATTAGGTGTTCTGTTGGTCAAATTGATGGCAATAACTATTAGGTGTTCTGTTGGTCAAATTGATGTCAATAACTATTAGGTATTGTGGTGGTCAAATTGATGGCAATAACTAATAGGTGTTCTGTTGGTCAAATTGATGTCAATAACTATTAGGTATTGTGGTGGTCAAATTGATGGCAATAACTTGAAGATATTCTGTTGGTCAGCTTGATGGCAATAACTTTAAGGTATTCTGTTGGTCAAATTGATGGCAATAACTACTAGGTATTCTGTTGGTCAGCTTGATGGCAATAACTTTAAGGTATTCTGTTGGTCAACTTGATGGCAATAACTACTAGGTATTCTGTTGGTCAAATTGATGTCAATAACTACTAGGTATTCTGTTGGTCAACTTGATGGCAATAACTTTAAGGTATTCTGTTGGTCAAATTGATGGCAATAACTATTAGGTGTTCTGATGGACAAATTGATGGCAATAACTATTAGGTGTTCTGTCGGTCAAATTGATGGCAATAATTGTTAGGTGTTCTGTTGGTCAAATTGATGGCAATAACTATTAGGTATTCTGTTGGTCAAATTGATGTCAATAACTACTAGGTATTCTGTTGGTCAAATTGATGTCAATAACTACTAGGTATTCTGTTGGTCAACTTGATGGCAATAACTTTAAGGTATTCTGTTGGTCAAATTGATGGCAATAACTATTAGGTGTTCTGTTGGTCAAATTGATGGCAATAACTATTAGGTGTTCTGATGGACAAATTGATGGCAATAACTATTAGGTGTTCTGTCGGTCAAATTGATGGCAATAATTGTTAGGTGTTCTGTTGGTCAAATTGATGGCAATAACTATTAGGTATTCTGTTGGTCAAATTGATGTCAATAACTACTAGGTATTCTGTTGGTCAAATTGATGTCAATAACTACTAGGTATTCTGTTGGTCAACTTGATGGCAATAACTTTAAGGTATTCTGTTGGTCAAATTGATGGCAATAACTATTAGGTGTTCTGTTGGTCAAATTGATGGCAATAACTATTAGGTGTTCTGATGGACAAATTGATGGCAATAACTATTAGGTGTTCTGTCGGTCAAATTGATGGCAATAACTATTAGGTGTTCTGTTGGTCAAATTGATGGCAATAACTATTAGGTGTTCTGTTGGTCAAATTGATGTCAATAACTACTAGGTATTCTGTTGGTCAAATTGATGGCAATAACTAATAGGTATTCTGTTGGTCAAATTGATGGCAATAACTACTAGGTATTCTGTTGGTCAAATTGATGGCAATAACTACTAGGTATTCTGTTGGTCAAATTGATGTCAATAACTACTAGGTATTCTGTTGGTCAAATTGATGGCAATAACTAATAGGTATTCTGTTTGTTGAATGGTTGACATTAATTAATTAACTTTATGGTATTCTGTCGGTCAAATTGATGATAATAACTAATAGGTATTCTGTTGGTCAAATTGATGGCAATAACTAATAGGTATTGTGTTGGTCAAATTGATGGCAATAACTATAAGGTATTGTGTTGGTCAAATTGATGGCAATAACTATAAGGTATTCTGTTTGTTGAATGGTTGACATTAATTAATTTATTGTAGTTCCTACATTGGTGACAATGGATGAATATGTTCTGTTGTTTTTTGTCAGGGTGGCGACTATGGACTGGTTGAATGCCCAGGAGATGTCCACAGCAATGTCTGTGAAGGATCCACCCACCTGTACTTTTATTAACCTCCTACCTTTCACAATGTACCGGGCTCGTGTTATTGCTGTTAACTATGTGGGTCGCAGCATGCCCAGTCAGGAGAGTGAGATCTTCTGGACCAAGTCTGAAGGTAACTTCATTGTTTATATGATGAGTGTGGCTTTCAGATTATTTGTAATGTTTAATGAATAGAGTTTCCTTTATGTTTTTTGAAATAATGCTTGGTAATTTTGTGGCTTTTATCTTCATCAAAACTCCATCAGCTAATAATGAACATGTTAAGTGTGCATTGGCCTTTGATATGAAGGAAATGAATTTGGCAGTGATTTCTTACGTCACAGAACTTAAACTATTACTTTGAACTGTTTCTATGTATGCAATGTTCTGTCTGGCAGCTCCAAGTGCAGCTCCTGAGATCCTTGAAGCTAGCAGTCACAACAGCTCACAGATTTTCATTAAATGGCGGCCACCTCTTGCCTCGGAGCTGAATGGAGAACTTACAGGCTATGTCATAGAGTATAATGTTGAAGGCTCAAATATCCTTCAGACTGTCACCGAGGAGAATAAAGACAAGACAGTAAGTTACAATGAAAATTCCTGCCATGATACGATTCAGAATAAGATATTATTGCCCATAACTATTGCTCTATAGGAGGTAGGGCTTTCCTATTTCTCATATGTGTTCCTTGTGACAGGGCTTTTCTGATTGTACCAAAGTTTTTGACCATATGGCTTTGACTTTGGCCTTTGACCTACCTCTGAAAAATGTTAACTGGTAGGATGTAGGACTTTCATATTTGGCATGTGTATTTCTTGTGACAAATTTTTGACCATGCGATTTTAATTTTGTTGCGACCAGAGGGATGGTGTGTCATGAACACATATCATATTTACATGAAAAAATAAGTTTAAGATGTTGGATTTAAAACGTAAAAAACATAGACATTGACATACTCAGATGTCGGTATATAGCTAGTAAATATAATATTATAAAGGATGACGAAAAGGTAGTGACCTACAGTGTAAAGAGGAATGTATTAACAGAAAACACTAAAGGGTGTTCAAGGCATAAAAAGAAGAAAAAAGTAGGAAATAATGAAATTCAGATAAAAGTTTTTGTTATGTAAATTCAGATATTTTCATCATCACCAGACTTCATTTATTATATACTGTTTTACGGTAAATCTTTCCTCCAGAACCTGACCATCATCAACCTGTTGCCCTTTATGAACTACTACATCACCATTAGAGCTCAAAACAATTTTGGGACTGGACCATTTGCTGATGTAACAGTCCGTACAGCCGAGGGACGTAAGTTTTCCAGCTTAATTCACCAGAGATATATCAGATGTAACAGTATAAGGTGATATATTGAAGATTCCATCAGTCAACCAGCATTGTTTACATATAGGTACTTCCAAAGGACAGGATAATGTTACACATAGGCTCTGTTACTATAGTATACATCAACACAACAAAAACTAGGGAGACATACAGTATAGTTGTGTATAATTTATATAACAGTTATTAAGGTTCACGATGAATGTCCACTTTAAGCAGTAAACAGAAGAGTATTTTCTGATGATGTGAAATATTTGTTATGTATTTTATATTGTGTAATCATTAAATCCCCAGAGAACACAACTAACTATACAATGGAGCCCGCGCCACTTTGTCCTCAGTAGAGGACACTGTAGTCGTTAAATCCCCAGAGAACACAACTAACTATACAATGGAGCCGGCGCCACTGTGTCCTCAGTAGAGGACACTGTAGTCGTTAAATCCCCAGAGAACACAACTAACTATACAATGGAGCCGGCGCCACTGTGTCCTCGGTAGAGGACACTGTAGTCAGAGAACACAACTAACTATAAATGAAGCCCGCCACTGTGTCCTCCACCCCAGAGAACAGAGAACAACTAACTATACAATGGAGCCGGTGCCACTGTGTCCTCAGTAGAGGACACTGTAGTCGTTAAATCCCCAGAGAACACAACTAACTATACAATGAAGCCCGCGCCACTGTGTCCTCGGTAGAGGACACTGTAGTCGTTAAATCCCCAGAGAACACAACTAACTATACAATGAAGCCCGCGCCACTGTGTCCTCGGTAGAGGACACTGTAGTCGTTAAATCCCCAGAGAACACAACTAACTATACAATGGAGCCCGCGCCACTGTGTCCTCAGTAGAGGACACTTGGTTTCTTGTCCACATATCTGTGTATTCATAAATTTGCAGGTTGATTAACTGAGTTAAATGGTTCGATGGGGATGATGATCTGTATGAAGACCTATTATTACCTGGTATAGAAATGTACATCAGTAGTCATCTATATGAATAGGACCTATTTAGACATATCATAAAGTACACTTAATAAAAATTGGTAAAAATGTGCTTCCTTTATAGGGCCATCGAAACCTAGAATCATTCATACACTGAATGTGATGTCAACTTCATTCAACCTGAGCTGGGAGGCTCCTAAAGAGATGCGAGGGAACCTGTTGGGTTACGAGTTAGAATGGAGTCACAACAACACAATCAAATCTATGATTATCCGTAACCTGGGAGATCGTGGAAATACTCAACATGAGGCTTACATATCTAACCTAGGTAGGTTTGGATTGTTAGAAATAACCTGGGAGATCGTGGCAATGCTTAACATGAGGTTCACATATCTAATCTATATAGGTTGGGATTGTCAGAAGCAACCTGGGGGAGGATGGCAGTACTTAACATACAGCTTCTGTATTCAATTTAGCAATAGATGTATATATATATTTTGACATAACCTTGGGTATCATTTAGGAATGTTTGATCTGTCAGTAGTAACCTTGGTAGTAATTGTCAGTTAGATGTGTACTGCTGACTTTTCACCCTAGGAATCATGTTTTCATTCTGTAAATTAATTGTTCCCTTTGAAGTGGGGATACTATTGAACTTAAGTCTATAATAAAATCAATAAAAACAAAGCATGGTATCAAAAAATTACATTAGGAATTGATAAAGAATTTGATGTTGACAGAACCCTACACTCAGTACAGGGTACGAGTGCGTGCCTTCACCGGAGGTGGAAATGGAGAGTTCAGTGACTCTTACCCTGCTCTAACTGATGTCACAGGTAAAGCAGTCACTCACAAAGTACATATGTACTATATATATTTAGCACTTCTGATTCTTAATTTCAGTTTGTATAATGTTTTCTATAATATACACTGTGAGTGCATCTGTTTTTCAATAACCACATTTTTCAAAAGTTTGATAATGTGCTCAAATTTGAATGTCTCTTAAATTATGGTGATTTTTAAGCTGTAAAAGATTAAAAAACAAGTCAATGGTAAAGACAATCTGATATTGTGCACTTGATTTTGTAATTTTGACTGATATTTAGGATTTATATTGCATTATGTATTCCTGCTCAGGTCCCGGCCAGCCGACTGGACTCAACGTCACTGTGACAGGTTCCAATAGTGTGTTTGTACAGTGGGAACAACCAAAGAAGTTCTATCGTATAGTTAATTACTATGCCATTGAATACAAGGACACTAGCTCCTTCTTCCATAAACCTCTTGTTGTGGAGGCACCCATTCAAAAGGTAAGCACCAATTAAACTATTGAAAAAGAAAACACAGACAGGACCATTCAAAAGGTAAGCACAAACTGAATTATTGAAAAAGAAAACACAGACAGGACCATTCAAAAGGTAAGCACAAACTGAATTATTGAAAAAGAAAACACAGACAGGACCATTCAAAAGGTAAGCACAAACTGAATTATTGAAAAAGAAAACACAGACAGGACCATTCAAAAGGTAAGCACAAACTGAATTATTGAAAAAGAAAGCACAGACAGGACCATTCAAAAGGTAAGCACAAACTGAATTATTGAAAAAGAAAACACAGACAGGACCATTCAAAAGGTAAGCACAATAGAACTATTGAAAAAAAAAACAGACAGGACCATTCAAAAGGTAAGCACAATAGAACTATTCAAAAGGTAAAAACCAGCTGAACCAAGCAAAAGGTAAGCACAAACTGATTTATTTCATAAGGTAAGCACTAGCTTAACCATTTATAAAACCTACACAAAATTAGCTGATTATATATAGAAATGACTGGATCAAAGTTTTTAGAAATGATCTAACCCAAATTTACAGATGATAAGTACATATTTGAATTTATGAAACCAAAGTTCTGTGACAAACAAATTACTGTTTTCTTACATGCAGTTGAATATCACCAATCTGCCTAGTAACCGAGTCTACAAGCTGCGAATGGCTGCCATCACCAAGAGCATTGTTAAACAACAGAAATACAGTGGACAGTTCACTGATTGGATCACGTTTGAACTAATAGGTATGTCATAACGAGCACTGCCAACATTACTGACTACACATCTTCGCACAAAAAACATTATATATTGTATCCCCACAGCCAATTCTCTGTAACCTTTTTCTTCATCAGCTCCTTTAACAAACATGTATCTAGTAATTACAGATTTAGTCAAAACCTGCTTTGCATGGCAATCTGTATTATCAGGATGAGTTTCAGACACAAGCAAAATATTTCGTTTAATTTCCAAATCAGTTAATTATAATCTTTTCATCATATATTTTCTTAATTTAATATCTTTGTGGTTTGTTGGTGTTATTTACACTAAAAACAATTAAATGAAATAGATAGAAACTATTAAAATAGATTTAGACCATAGGTACACAAGAGGTTTTTGTCCCTGCTCAGTGAAGTGTTTACTATAGTTTATTGTTTTCACTTCGACAAAGAAAATTTATTGATGTGTTTTCTGGAAAATATGTGCAAACTGTGTTTGATCGTCAAAATAATAGTGGAATAGCCGAGAGAAAATATTCTAGCTTTATTTCTTCTGAAATCTAGTTGTCTTGAATGTTGTGAATATTAACAAATGACTTCTATATAAAATACATATTGAGAATTCTTTATAACTAGAGGAGGACGTGTGGATTCTTGCCATTGATACAGATTAAACACCCAGCATCTTGAAGACTTTTTCTATCTGTAATGTATCACGGGCAATTTTCAACTTAAGAATGTCTGTGTATAGAGACCTTGGTTTGACTTCATACGTGCTGTTAACTGGTGGCCCACTTCAGTTCACTTACTAGTGTACACATGTCACATTGGTATCATTATCAGGGCTAGCTCTGGGTCAAAATTCAGTTTCGCCAAACCAAATTTTTTTTGCTATAAGCGCGCGAACAGATTCCGGAACTTGCCCTCACCCTCACCCGACGAGCCCTTAATTCCCTCATATAATAATAACACATATGCTAATTATATAATTACATTATTTATTCACTGTTTTAACAACAATACATCAATTTTAATCAGTTTTAATGCTCACCGTCATATACATGATATTTGACATTATGTTTGATTTACTATGTACAACTAATACTAATTTCTCTATAATAGTTGTTGTGCTATTTTATGATGGTGTTACATAAAAGTATTTCTAATTCCAGGGTTTTTCTGTTTTAATTTGGTTTAGAATGTATGTGTTGCATTTTACATGAACAAATCTTTTAGAGATTTCCATCTTAACAAACCATACACTTTTTTGATCTGCAATATCTAGATATTACTCGGAATTAAACCTCTCCCACCTCTGTTTTTTACAGGAGATATTCAAAATGAAACAAACGAAGGTGATTATCCTATTGTACTCCTTGTTCCAATGTCACATGTACTCTTGTTTCACCTAAATCTACTTCCAGCATTGTGAATGGTGACCATGAACCACTATAGATTGAATCCTCTCTCATCATCATCATCTCTCTTATTGTCATCTCTCGTCTATCATTACACATAGAGGACAAGGCTTCATACTTTGGTTATCTGTATTGTTAGATTCATGGGTAGTACTTTGCCTTTTAGATGATTTCACTCTGTAAATTAGGGTTTTTTTTCATTAAGGAAATAATTACAAAAATAAAAACACCAAAAAAAACCCAGAAAATATTATAAAAAATTTTGTTAATCAACTTTATATGTACATGAAGACAATAGATTATCTAAATGAATATGATAACAAACAAAAGAAAGATATTTCTTTTCTTATCTTGTATATGAATGCTGCATTTCAATACAGAAAATGAGAAATGGATTCTGTCAAAAAGGCTGCAGCCATGGTTATTTTTTTCATATGAAAACTTTTTCCTCACCCCTGCATGATCCTGTTAAGGTACAACACACTGAGTTTTACTTCAGCCGTGTCTTTGTCTGCATGTTCAGGTTGTTGTTATTACTAGCATGTTAGTCAGAGTTTGATTTCAAGTAGTTTATATTTACTAAATTGTAAATATGTTGTACTTTACAGCATCAAAATACATAAAAAACCACAGTTTGTTCACAATTCGTAAGATGTCGGTGTCGTAAATGAAACTTGTCAGTCTGTACTTTAAGCCCGTTGTATTGGTTTTTGTCTGTTATATACAGACACAAGTGTCTGAGATATTTCAAGCCAGAAAACACCAGTCACTATTGTTAAAACTAGAACACAGCTTCCCACATCAGTTTATTAATAATAATGATAATAATAACATACAGGACACAGGCTTATTAAGCCTATTTATCTGGATCAGAGGCCTTTAAACACTTCACTGAAATACTGAAGGTCTAGGATTTTTCTCTCAAAATCATGATTATAATAATTAAATTTTCGTTAATACTTTTTTCAGTTTGAAATCCTTGTGAGTCCAGATTTGTGATACCAAGTCTAAAGCGGGTTTATACTGAAGGGTTTAGTGTTCATCTTTTGATTTTTCATTGTTGATCTGGAATTTAAACCTATATAAAGTAAAGAGTATTCTAGGCTATAAGGTTGTATGATATCACCACAGAATAAACCCTACAGAATTATTGTAATATTTGTAATACTTCCTTACATTACAACACATAACTTAAAACTAGAACAAACAAAATGTGCCAGAGAGAAAATAATGAGGTAAATAAACAATTTAAAGCCAGAGAATTGCATCATTGTAGATATAAACACTATAAGTTATACTATGGCGAGTCAGAAGCATCAGCACATAGTATAAACACTATAAGTTATACTATGGCGAGTCAGAAGCATCAGCACATAGTATAAACACTATAAGTTATACTATGGCGAGTCAGAAGCATCAGCACAAGATGAAGCTGCTGATCAGCTTTCTGTTATATTTCTAGTAATTACCTTTACCTATCACAATTTACTACCACTAGGGGCCACAATAGCTCAGTGTCTTCGTAACCTCAGAACTTAGGTGCCTCGTTCAACACTCCCTACTCTTGGCGTTTGCGCTTCTCAGGAAGCTGAGAAACAGACCAGGTTGTGGTGACGTGGTTGTATTCTTGGGCAAGACACTTTAACCCGAATGCTGTTGATGCCATCTGTATACTATTCCATGGGGTAGCCTCAGAATGACCCTCACTGTTACATTGGTGATAAACCCAGCAAAAAATAGCTGCAGACAAGAAAACAATACCACTACAGAAGGTATAACTTAACACTGAGGAGAGATATGTACAGCCTGATATGTTACTACACAGGTACTTTTAACTGTATGCTGTTTCAGTAGTGTGTTGCTTTCAGGATTTGGGCTTTAGTATCACTGTAGTCTGTTGTTCTGTGTTGTAGATCAGTCGGAGGCCAGTGACATAAGTAATGTAGTTTTCAGTACATGTGATAACAGTTGTGTAACCTAAATTAGTTCAGAGCAACAGCAATGTATCAAGTATTGGACTTTTGAAATGTTCAGTATTCAAAGTCAAATTGAAACATAATTTATCAAAAATATGATGTAGTTGTGAAATATCCATATACACTATAACGATACCTAAAATATCTAATATAACATTGCTGTTTTCACAAAAAGTAGAAGTACAGTAGTATATACTATTACAAATTATTTTGATTCTCTATGCTGTAATTTTTAAACTGATTGGCACCTGTAGATAAAATTTGAAGATGGCCTGTTGTTCTTGGATGAGGTTGGTGTTCCATAGTGAAATTCATGTCGTAGTTGTTACACGTTAATTAAAAATAGTTTTAAAACTTGTTGATGAAACTTGAAAGATACTTGTACTAGTGAGAAATGACACCATTGGATGTCACATTTAGGTCAAAGGTCAAATTGGAGCCATGTTAGTACTTTGTTTTCTGAAACCTTTAGACTGTTGATCAAATTTAGGTAGATCACTATAACCTTCACAACTAGGTCAAAAGTCAAATTGGAAAAAAATCAGTATGATGTTTTGCAAGCTTTAGGTACACTGTATTTAGATCACCCTGACCTTTTTTCCCCAAGTCAAAGGTCAAATAAGTGCAAAGCAAATGATGTTGTAAATGCACTAGTAAAGGGAGATATTTTGGTTTCGAGACTAAATGTATAGATAGAGTCTGTAGTAAATCAATTGTGTAAAGACCTCTGTGTTAAAGCAGGGTAGTATTTGATTTATCCTACTGATTTTGATCTTGCGTCTAGATATTTATTGTGTACAAGATACATTGTGTAAATGTGGCTTTTACCATTACTAAACATAGCTTTCTTGTTGTGTACAGTGTTATTTATGTCTGATGATTATACTTGTAGAGTTTAACGAGTGACAAGCAGTGTCAACAAGTTACATCTATAAGGATATATACCCAAAAAAGGAAATCTACATATATCTGTTGTATACTTCAGTTTTTGGCAATAACTTTCCTTTTACTTTAAACTTATGACTGAACACTGTTTAAACATACCCACCCTACAAAGTTACCTTAAAGCAGAATTATAGATATAACAATTGTACAATGTTATAATGGAACAAAGAGTGAGAGATTGTCAACCCAACAAAGACATAGGAAAATAAGGATTTAGGATAACTTTGATAAAAGAAGGACTGTCCTACAAAGATTTAGAGAGGATAACCATACAAATTTACAATGCATTATTTGTTTTCTGTTGTGAACTCAAGTTTACAAACCACTTTGGTCAATATTATGAGAATCCAATAGATATATCCTTAACATAATTCAGTTTTTGACTCTCATCTGATGGTTGGCTGTTCAAATTACCCTATTTGGTTTGTCTGTCCATAAACATGTTATTGCTATTTCTTTAGCAGCACAGAATAGGACCTTTTCAAATTCAACAAATAGGCTCTTTTTGGTCCCTAATTGTACTCTTTTTGATTTTGGGACTGATCAGAAAAACATAATGACTGAAAGTTTGTTGTCACTATTTGAAAAGTACCCCAAGGATTTTTCTCAAAGTTTGTGTGTAGATTCTCCTTGGTCCCTGTTTGTGTATGTTCAATTTTGGAACTGATCAGAGAAACAAAATGACTGGCTGGCAAACATCTTTGATGTAGCAGTAAATTATTATTATCACTACTTCTTGAAAGAAATGTTCAAGTTTCATATAATTGGTTGTAGAAACAGATATAAAGAAAAAAAGAAGGGAAAATATCCAACTTAATGTTGTTAAATGTTGCACCCAACGGGGAAAAAAAAACTTCTGACTTAAAATAGGATGTAAGCTTATAACTGGAGCTTGATGACATTTTGTTGACATTTCTACTAAGCTTATCAAATATTTAAGTTTGCTTATTACCGCTTGACATGAGCTTATTTTCAGCTAAATGTGATGCTGTCTGATCTGATTTCAATTTTTACTAAGCATGGTCTAATTGTCCCTTATATATAGTGACAAGGGGTAGTCATATTACTGGACATGGCTTATCATCTTAAATATAGTGACAAGGGGTATTCATATTACTGAACATGGCCATATTTTCCGTTATAAAGAGTGACAGCTGGTGGTCCTGTTAGTGAACATGGTCTAATTGTCCCTTATATAGAGTGACAGTGGGTTCAATTTTGTCCCTTATACAGAGTGACAAGGGATGGCCTTAATACTGAGCATAGCCTTATCATCCCTTGATATAGTGACAAAGGGCAGTATTCTTACTGGATATGACCATTTTATCCTTAATATATATTGACAAGGTTGGTCTTATTAGTGAGCATGGCCTTATAGTCCTCAATATAGGGTATTGGGATAGTGTTTTTATTTAGCTTTTGCTTATTACCTGTAACAATGAGGGATGGTTTTGATACAACACACTGACTTATCATCAAGGGAAACATGTCTATCTTTATTTTTAGGGAACAGGTTATTTGTTTACAGTATATATATTGTACATATAACCTAGCACAGTTGTTTTTATCATTACTCCTTATTAACAATATCAGAACATTCATAACAGTAAATTTTCACTGTGGATTTGATAATGAAAGTTAAACAATGTTCTCTGTTTGTGATTTGTTATCTTGATTAGGTGCTGAAAGAATGTAAAAAGTGATTCCTATATCTTTATAATGATATATGTTCCGAGGTTAAAATGTCCTGAGTCCATTATGTATGTATCTATAAAGATACCAGTAGTGGTGTGTTGGATATACTTTACTGGAAATATAATAACTATTGATCCAGAGAAGTTTTCTTTTTTCACAAGTGTTACTAGGAATTAGAAACAAGATAACGATGACATTATTCTTGGAAATACAGGAGATTTTACAAGAACTAACTCTATGATACAGTATATTTGTGTTTACAATTAATTTTGTTGTGTCTGGCATGCATTTTATTTGTGTCACCATGATAATTAAATTTAGAATCTTTAAATTGATCGTATTCAACCAATCACATAATATCTTGTGTAATATTGTTTGTAATGAGCCAATCACAGACTGTTTTGTATTTTTGATTAATAAGTCACATGACATCTTGTGTTCCATTGATTGTAATGAGCCAGTCAATGACTATCTTGTATTTTCCTATTAATAAGTCACATGACATCTTGTGATCTATTGATTATAAAAAACCAGTCACAACTTGTCTTGTATTTTCCATTAACATCAACAAGTGAATGACATCTTGTGTTTCCTTTGATTGTGATTGACAAATCACATCTGTTTTGTGTTTTGCATTAATTTGTAATCAAACAATCACATGCTGTCTTGTGTTTTTTTTTCTACTAATGTGTGATTATCTCCCTTTTCAGATTATATCAATAACACCACTATCAGTACAGGTGAAAGTCCCTTACTATTACTGTTGTCACATTTTTGTTTCTGTTCTATTTTCATCATTTTTTGTCTGATATTGTACACCACTTGACACGAGGCTCTTCATTCCCTCCTGTGCATGCAATAGCTATTTCCCAGTGATGTTATGCTCTAGGTACCCTAAATGTATGGAGTCTGACCATCATCGTCCCATCACTTATCCAAGCTTAACATCCCTCAGTTTATTAACTCCCCAATCCAAAAATTTTAAGATGGTGTTAAAAAATAAAGAAGATAATTATTTATCAAGATTTCACAGAATTATTTAATGGTTTATGTCAGTGAGTTAGAATTATTTCCACGGTCAAATTTTAAAGATATTTCAAAAGTGTCTTATTTTTTTTTTGTAAATGCAGGTATGATGATTAAGAAACTATTTGGTGTAACTGGCAAAACTTTCTCACTGATGATAGTGTGCATTCTTACAAAAAAGTGAAATGATTTCTGTAAATCTTCTCTAAATAGCATGGAAAATGTTTAAAACGGTTTGGATTTTGAGAGCTTACAAAGTTTTCAAAACGTTTTCAAAATTTGGTAAAATGAATATCTAGGTAAAAGATGATTAAGAATCCGAAGGAGGGAGTGAAGTATTTAACAAAGCTTTCCTGGCTGTGCACACTTTAATCCCTGTGTGTTACTCCAATAAAACCACTAACGTCCTTATATCTGATTTATCTAACCATGCATTATAGGGGTTGACTTAACCTATAGAACAACTTATTGTGTGAATACTTACAAATAACCTAAAAAAGCATATTCCTTCTTAAAAGCATATACCGGTATATCTTGTGTTATATAAATGTCATTATTCTTTTGACCAGTTCTGACTTGACTATAGAAAACATAAGTTTATTGTGACACTTGTAACAGATTATTTTGAACTGATATCCTGTAATACCATATCATTTATAAAACACACATCATACTTATAGAATTATCATCATTGAAATGCTTTTGTTAGGTGTATCACCAACTCATTTTGTGTTTCACTCTTAAATTTTATTTTCTGACTTGTACAGGATATACCCAATCTTCCCCATTCCTAACTTTCCATTTCTCACTGCCCCTTTCTCATCACACTATCCAATTCTGCTTTTTCACACTTTCTAATTGTCATCTTCTCATCTCCCTTATTTTTCCATTATCCAATTTCCATCTGTCTAGCTTTGTTTATTCAATCAATTGCCTTTGCCCAAATTTGGGCATCTCCCAATTCATTCCATGGTCCACCTTCCATCTCCCCTTCTCCTACCAAACCATCTCCCATACCATTCCATGGTCCACCTTCCATCTCCCCTTCTCCTACCCAACCATCTCCCATACCATTCCATGGTCCACCTTCCATCTCCCCTTCTCCTACCAAACCATCTCCCATACCATTCCATGGTCCACCTTCCATCTCCCCTTCTCCTACCAAACCATCTCCCATACCATTCCATGGTCCACCTTCCATCTCCCCTTCTCCTACCAAACCATCTCCCATACCATTCCATGGTCCACCTTCCATCTCCCCTTCTCCAACCCCACCATCTTCCATACCATTCCATGGTCCACCTTCGATCTCCCCTTCTCCTATCAAACCATCTCCCAAATCATTCCTTTGTCCATCTTCCATCTTCTCTTCTCCCACCTCATCATCTCTCACATTGGTCTATCACTACCTCTCCTCTTCCTACATCACCCTCTCCCATCCTTTCATTACTTATATTTCCCTCCATACCCCATCTCCCTTCCCTCCATTATTGGTCTTTCCATCATACCCATCACCCCATTCCCCCGATTCCTGCCTTCCATTTCTATTCTTTTCCAAACCACCCCATTGCCCGTTTCCCCTCCCTTCATTAATGGTCTTTCCCGCATTGCCCCTTGACCGTTGCCCTCTTTCCATTACTAGTCTTTCACACATTGCTACCATGCCCTCTCCCCTTTATCAATTACTAATCTTTCCCATGTTACCCCCTTGCCCTCCCTCTTACTATCACCCCTCTCCTCAAACCCCATTTTGGTTTGGTTGTTGTTGATTAATTTCATTTCACTTTGTAAGTTTTAACTCACTTGTACATTTAGTAAAAACAAGATATATTTTTTATTTCTCCACAGATAGTGTTAGATTTCTTGCATGGTTTCCTTCGTAAAGTATTAATCTCTATTCACCATAATTAAAAACTGCCAAACAAATTAAGTACGGTAGTTACATATCAGTCTGGCTATTTGATATATGTTCTCCTTTGGCTGCCACGTGATTTTTTATCATGGGTCAATTATAATATTTTTCACAGGAACTGATGATTTACAGCTTTTCCGCAAATAATTGTGGAATATTCCTTATCTCTTGTCCATTTTATAAAGATTTGTCAGTATTGGCCACCAAAGTCAATATGTCTATTAGAAACCCTATTGTGACCTTTGCCTGATGAACCAATATTGAAATGTTTCTGTGGCCTTAAAATGACCTGAACTGAATGAGGTCCTCCTTCCTAAGCCACACTGACTTTCATTTGAGGCAATAATGTAAAAATTAATCACAAATGGCTTTCATGAACAGCCAGCAATTGTTGTAGAATTAAATATTGACATTGTCACTTTATGGTGCTCTACACCTGTGCCTGTTCCATGTGGACAGATCAGCAACTCTGAATCTTTTAACAGGTGTACAGTGAAGGACTTAAAAGTGATTACCTTTATGTGGCACCAACAAGTTAATACCAAATAAAATCAAACATCTGAATCGAAGACATATGTCTGTAGTTTTAACATTGTGTCTGAATAAGATTTTAATGACATTTTAATAGAGGACATGTGTCTGAAGTTATAAGGAAGTGTCTAATGAAGGTTTTATTGATAATTGGATAGCGGACATGTGTCAGTACTTATAGCAAAGTGTCTTAATCTTGGTGTCTGGAAAGAGGACATGGGTTTGAAGTTATAGGGATGTGACTAAAATAGATTTTACCAAGAAAATGTTTCAAGTTCAAACATTTTTATTGTATTTCTCTGACATTGTATGGAAATTTTCAGAACACAAAATAGGATCAAGTGTTGAGAATATAAAGCTTTTTTATGTGTACTTGTATAAATGTATCCTTTGTATCGACACACCTGTGCACATGTTTAGTTTGCATGCATATATTTATAGCTTTACTTTGGTAGTTGTTTTGATTTGTTTTGTTTTTTTGAGAAAAAATAATGCTTTCTCAACAGCTTATTGACTATAGAGAGGTACATACAGCATTTTGTCAAATAGGAGACTAAACTTAGACACTGTAACTGGTGCTTAAAAATTAAAACATTAAAATTAAAATTAAAATAAAAAATCATTCACCAAACTGAGGTCTTTTGGATCCATTACTGAGTGGGATAACTCATCATATAATGTACATACTTCAGCTAAGATGAACATGAATATTCATTAGTCCTGAACTGTAAATTAGAGGTCAATATATCCTTATCTGATGGTTATATCTATACTGAAGGTAAACATGATAATTAGTTGATCAGATGATGAATAGAATTAAGGTGAAATAAGCTGTTCACTTTGCTTCGTCTTCCGAAAATTATCTGTATCATAGTGACATCATGATATTAACTTCACAGGAGGTTCATATTATTGAATATTAACATGATGATAGATGTCCAATCTCAAATGAGAATTCGAAAGTCGTGATAAACATATAACATTGATGGTATTTATATTGTAACATTAGTAATATAATATTTATAATTCTTCATATATTTAGGATGTTTTGATTGCTAACTAATCTTGGTTTGGATCTTACTTAAGAATATGGTACCTTGTAATCGTCTGTCCAGATATACTTTACTGTTTAGTACATTATTATCATACTTGTAACTAGTTCTCAGACAAAAAAAATCTTCAGAATGGGAAGAGTTATGCCCCTTTCTAATTTATTCTTTCATGTGAGTGGTAGAGACTATGACATAGAGAGATAGAATTACACATGGATTATTATGTATTGTAGAAGTTGATATGATTACACACCATGGAATCATGTGACATTAAAGAGTTTCCTTACCAGTGTATAGATAAGATAACATATATATGAAAGTATTATCAGTGTAGCATTATTTTGTATTACAAGTGAAAATTGGTATGGTATTTCAGATTTAGTGAATTTACTGATGTTTTTCACCGCAGTAATATTCTATAAAAGCAAAATTATATAAAGGGAATTTCGCAACAGGCATAGCCTTGACTACTCCTATAACATAAGTGGCGGCTGGTCGGCCGTTTTATTTTCTGACATTATTGCGCCAACTGCAACACGGTGCCTGTCATAAATATCTCCCGTTGTAAAATCTCTAACAATGCTGGAGTAACCCTTGACAAGCCCTTTCCTTTTATGTCTTTATCCAGATCCTACTGCCGTTGATAACTAACTAGAATTTATGATGTATAAATGTCTCATTTTCGATGTCTTTATCCAGATCCTACTGCCGTTGATAACTAACTAGAATTTATGATGTATAAATGTCTCATTTTCGATGTCTTATCCAGATCCTACTGCCGTTGATAACTAACTAGAATTTATGATGTATAAATGTCTCATTTCAATGTCTGTATCCAGATTCTGTTGCGGTAGATTACTAAGTAGAATTTACCATGTATAAAAATCTCATTTTTGATATCTCTGTCCAGATCCTGCTGCCATGGAAGAGGCCAATCAGGAAATCATGTCAGCGGGTATTGTGGCTGGGATTGTATGCGGCCTTTTGTTCATCCTCTTGTTTGTGCTTGTGTTTATCGCATGTAGGTGAGGACCAAATTAGTGGCACTAGGGTTATCTCCAACAGCCGAAAGAACAGATAAGACTTTGTTTAAAAAAGCTCTGCCATTGTTTAGATGACTTTGTCTGGTTTTACTTTTAGCATCCTGGTAATGGATCAGTATAATTAATAAATGCTAGTAATCTTTGTAGGATAGATATAATTTTTGTAAATTCTGCTTCACATGATGTACAAAGCAGTATCTTGTATTTGACTTTACTTCCAAGACAAATTGCTAATCATTTGTTTTTAGATATTAGATATTCCTTGTTTGGCTCTACTGTATCTAATCTAATTTTGTCTTAAGAGGTGCTTTTCTCTTGTGTGTTTTTTATACAATCTTTTGTGTGAATTACAGGTCGTTAACATGCAGGAAGTACTACCAGGCTGCATTTGACTACTTTGCTGTACCAACCAATAACAATTCACCACCGACTACTGTGATCAATATACCGGAGCCATTAGGTACGTTAGCAGAATCAAAAGTTCATGTGTTTTATGGATCTGATAAAAAACTTGTGGTTTTAAACTATAAATAATTTTCTGTGTAGTTTGTAATAGTGATCATCCAGGGGATTTTCTGTGTTTACTAGACATTACAATTCAGATTCAAAAGAAAGAAGGCCAGATTTTTAGTTATATCTTGTATGTGGTTGCCTGTTTTTCAAAACATAACAATGGTGTTCCTTTTGTGTTCTCTTATACAGAAAAGTCTGTAGTATTACTTCTATACTATTTCTGTCCTGACATCTTACCAGATTATCATTATACTTACAGAGGAGATCAGTTATCAGCCTATACCGGTGGGGGACTTTCTTCAACATGTCAAGTCTCTACATGCTGATAGTGATGTTGGATTCTCACAGGAATTCGCTGTAAGATAATAACCTAAATATCAGCAGAAGCATTGTGCATTATTTGATGGTCGTCAACAAGTTCATTTTAATCAAGTTCTTTTCAAAATGACTGATGAACTTTTTGATATACTTAATTTTTTGTAAACGATCACTCAGAAATCCAATTTTCTAAGAAAATCTAGTCATGCTGAAGTAAAAATTTAAAACAATGTTTTGTTGATGACTAAACATATGATTTCTTGGCAAACCTGTTCTTTGATAACTTTACCTTTGAAATATCAATAGACCTTAGGTGTTTACCATACATATAGTGTTTACATTACACGGTATGTTACATATACGCTTAACTTTATTTCCAGGATATAAACAAACAGACCTGTGGCTGGACTATACGTGCCGATGCATCTAACCAACACGAAAACAAGTCTAAAAATAGATACATCAACATTATAGCTTGTAAGTATGTGGAAGAATAGAGTCACATTTAGTGGTTAGTTGAACAGCTGATGACACAGGGACAAATTAGTAATCTAGTGTTTGAGGTTTTTCAAACTTTGACAAAGACTATCAAAGGTTTAACTGTGAAGTAATCTTACCCCAGAAGTATGGAAAAATGATTGTAATGCATTAATGAATAAGTCTTTAATTGTAAAAATATTTCTGTTTAGCTCTAAGTAGACAAACTTTCCACTTATTTTACTAGAAGTTAACTTCTGAGTATGTTGTCAGTGCTCTCCTTCAAGGTTTATGGTCCTACTGTATACTGTGTAGCCATTTACCAACAACAGCTCATTATACAAAGGCAGATATTCTCAAGTCAACAAGTTTTTAGCTGCAGATATTGATATGTGTTTTAAATAAATGTCAGTGATATTTTTGTTTGTAGTTGACCATAGTCGCGTCATGTTGAAACCCATCAATGGCCGCTTGAGAAGTTCAGATTACATTAATGCTAATTATGCAGATGTGAGTATCATAACTGACATGGCTAAAAATTGGAAATCTGTATTCTGATGCAGGACTCTATTTTACCTCAGCTGAATCTCATTACAAGTTACCTGGAACATTAAATGTACTTATGGTATTTAGAATGAAAGCAAAACAAATACAAAAGGAAATAAAAAAGCTTCCAATTAAAAACAAAATGAATTCAAATCTAAGTAATAGGTTTGGCATATCTGATTGTCAGTTGGATATTGACAGAGTCTGAATTTGTTGGCTGTATTCATGTTTAGGGATATAAGAAACCAAAAGCCTATATTGCTACCCAAGGCCCTCTTCCCTCAACCTTTGCTGACTTCTGGAGGATGGTTTGGGAACAAAACTCTGTTGTCATAGTGATGATAACAAAATTGGTGGAGCGTGGCAAAGTAAGAACATTACACATTACATCAGAGTTTTGATCAAAAAATTTATTGAGCATAAATAAACCTAAAAGCAGTGAAACATTATGGAGAAATACAAACTACATTCGTCATCTACTTTTGTGCAAGACATGTAGAGTTGTCTACCCTTGATGTCAACATTTTAAAATATATATTGGAGAAATTTTGGACACATAATAATTTTTTTAAGTATTGCTTACTTCTGAGAGTAACTTTATATAATTTTCCTTGTTCCTCGTTATATTTAGTCATGTTTGGTTTCCACAGAGGAAGTGTGACCAGTATTGGCCTGATGATGGTATAGAATTATATGGACCTATCCAGGTCAAGCATCTCAACACGTTTTCTCGGGCTCACTACACTGTCAGGATGTTTTCATTGAAAAACACCAAACTTAAAAAGGTAAAACGCACTATTTAATGTATAAAAATTCTAGTTAATACAATTGTGGTAATTCAAATTAAAATAAAAATCTATATTTTTACACCAAAACTATTTTGTTCAATGGGAAAATGAACCAGCTGTATGTATTATGATATAGAACAATGATTATTAATAATAATGAAAACAGACAATAACAGTTTATGTAAATTTGTTGTAACATTTGTAGCAATACTCTGAACGGATAGTGTATCATTTCCATTACACTGAGTGGCCAGATCATGGTGTTCCAGACTTCACATTACCAGTGTTAAAGTTTGTACAGAAGTCAGCATACATCAACCCCCCAGGGGCAGGACCAATAGTAGTTCACTGTAGGTAAGTACACTGACATCCCCTCCCTTACCCCTTACCCTTTTGGGGCAGGTGCATGATGATGATGATGATTGATGATTGACGATAATGATGATGATGACAATGATGATACTTATGATGATGATGATGATGATGATGATGATGATGACTGATGATGATGACTGATGATTATTATGATGATGATGACGATGACAACGACAACGATGATGATACTAATGATAATTATAATGATAATAATGATGATGATGATGATGATTATGATGATGATGATGATGATGATGATGATGATGATGATGATGATGATGATAATGTAACGAGGATGATGATGATGATGATGATGATGATGATGATGATGATGATGATGTTTTACAGTGCTGGTGTGGGTAGAACTGGGACCTACATCCTTATAGACAGTATGATAGAAGAGATGAAAGATAAAGGAACTATTAATGTTGCTGGATTTCTCCTCCACATACGACGGCAACGAAAGTTCCTTGTTCAAACAGAGGTATGTACAATGCCAATAACAATCAGAAATACGAACAATTTGATGGTTCATAGCTAAGATATCTTTGTATAGTTTATTACCAAAAACCAATGGTCTTCTAACTACAAGCTCATAACTGCTAAAGGCAGAATCAACAATGTTATTAAGTACATTTTTTCTAGCTTTCTTTTTAATTTGATAAAATTGGCTTACTACATTCAGATTTCCCTAATAAAAATTTTTTAGGTTGTTACTACGATAACCAAAGCTGAAAAAATAAATCAATAAATGTCTTTAAGAATGTGTAAGAGATGTCCTCTAAATTTGAGTACTTTAAGATTTAATCATTTAATTATGGGTTTTAAATCTTTTGTGGATTTTGGTAGCCAAAGGCCAAAACTATACATAGTCCTTTATGGTAGCACATTTACCTGTAAATATCAGATACAGTCACATGTCCAGCTATCATTGTGTTACAGGAGCAGTATATGTTGATACATGATGCCATCGCTGAGTATATACTTAGTAATGATACAGAAATCAAACATGGCGACCTGACAGGATACATAGACAAAATCTCACAACTTCATGACAGTGAGAAGGAGACTGCCCTGGAGAGGCAGTATAAGGTAGGTGATCAGTATGACAAACTGCTGATTTATTATTCAGGATCCTGAAAATGGAATGTATTCTTTAAATTTTACTCATTTTATTGAAAATTTTCTTTAGTTGGTAAAACTGTTAATTGACCTCAGCAAGAGGTATTGATTGTGTGTTATCTGTCATTGACCTCAGCAAGAGGTATTGATTGTGTGTTATCTGTCATTGACCTTCAGCAAGAGGTTTTGATTGTGTGTTATCTGTCATCTTTAGCTGGTGACAGCCTACAAACCAAAGGACACGGACAAGTTCCCAGCCAATAAAAATATCAACCAGAACAAGAACAGGAACAATGATTTAGTTCCATTGACAGTCAAACGAGTACCTCTACCTGCTAAACCAGGTGTGGATGGATCAGACTACATCAACGCTACATACCTGCAGGTGAATGAAATTCTCGACTGGTCAATGAGATGTTACATCATATAAAAACTTGTTTATCATGGGCTTAACATAAGGAATATTGAAGATAATTATCCAAATACTGATAAATTAATAAAACTGATGTTACGGCTTTCTCCACCAGAATTTCATACAGGAATCAAATTAACAATGTATCTATAAATAGTGATGACATTGTTATCAGGGTTACAACAAGACGGATGAGTTCATTCTGACGCAGCACCCCTTGGAGAATACAGTGGAAGACTTCTGGAGGATGGTATGGGACCAGAACTCTTCTGTTGTCTTCCTCCTCTCACAGCTTGATGACAAGGTAGGTCATCTCTGTCACTATTACAAGTCTTAACAGTATAGCTGTACTTCATCTCAAATGAGAGCATGTTAGACTGAGGATTTGGTGTTGTCAGCAGCTTTAACATTGGTCAGGTCTACAACATTACATTAATTTCATGTGTTTAGGGCTAAAAGATAACAAAAATTATCCTTTCAAAAGCCAGAAGTGGGTATGGTAATATTGTTGTACATCCACATAACTATAACTAGAGTTCCAACTCATCCTTAACACACTGCTTTTTTGTGTCTCCGACATTTCATGGTTGGGGATATAAAGTGTAAACCTTGTCTGCCACGCTGTCATGATTTTGTTCCGGTTTATTTACTCTATGATGGATACAGATATGAAACTGAATATTTTATATGATGACAACTTGCAGGTGCTGATTTTGTAATGGTCACTTAATTCTTCCATGATTATATGGCCATCTAACTTAAAAATTTCACAAAAATGAAAAGAACAGTATTTCAGAACTTTGGAATTTTTATGTGTTTTGTTCAGGAATAAAAAAAATTACATTTTATTTGACGTGTATTTTTCAGGAGGATGACAATAATTTTTGTGTGTATTTTTAGGAGGATGACCATAATTTTTGTGTGTAAATTTAGGAGGATGACCATAATTTTTGTGTGTATTTTTAGGAGGATGACCATAATTTTTGTGTGTAAATTTAGGAGGATGACAATAATTTTTGTGTGTATTTTTAGGAGGATGACCATAATTTTTGTGTGTATTTTTAGGAGGATGTCAATAATTTTTGTGTGTATTTTTAGGAGGATGACCATAATTTTTGTGTGTATTTTTAGGAGGATGACAATAATTTTTGTGTGTATTTTTAGGAGGATGACAATAATTTTTGTGTGTATTTTTAGGAGGATGACAATAATTTTTGTGTGTAAATTTAGGAGGATGACAATAATTTTTGTGTGTATTTTTAGGAGGATGACCATAATTTTTGTGTGTAAATTTAGGAGGATGACAATAATTTTTGTGTGTATTTTTAGGAGGATGACAATAATTTTTGTGTGTATTTTTAGGAGGATGACAATAATTTTTGTGTGTATTTTTAGGAGGATGACCATAATTTTTGTGTGTAAATTTTTAATTTTTGTGTGTATTTTTAGGATGACAATAATTTTTGTGTGTGATGACAATAATTTTTGTGTGTAAATTTAGGAGGATGTCAATAATTTTTGTGTGTATTTTTAGGAGGATGACAATAATTTTTGTGTGTAAATTTAGGAGGATGACCATAATTTTTGTGTGTAAATTTAGGAGGATGTCAATAATTTTTGTGTGTATTTTTAGGAGGATGACAATAATTTTTGTGTGTATTTTTAGGAGGATGACAATAATTTTTGTGTGTATTTTTAGGAGGATGACAATAATTTTTGTGTGTATTTTTAGGAGGATGACCATAATTTTTGTGTGTATTTTTAGGAGGATGACAATAATTTTTGTGTGTAAATTTAGGAGGATGTCAATAATTTTTGTGTGTATTTTTAGGAGGATGACAATAATTTTTGTGTGTATTTTTAGGAGGATGTCAATAATTTTTGTGTGTATTTTTAGGAGGATGACAATAATTTTTGTGTGTATTTTTAGGAGGATGACCATAATTTTTGTGTGTATTTTTAGGAGGATGACAATAATTTTTGTGTGTATTTTTAGGAGGATGACCATAATTTTTGTGTGTATTTTTAGGAGGATGACAATAATTTTTGTGTGTATTTTTAGGAGGATGACCATAATTTTTGTGTGTATTTTTAGGAGGATGACCATAATTTTTGTGTGTATTTTTAGGAGGATGACCATAATTTTTGTGTGTATTTTTAGGAGGATGACAATAATTTTTGTGTGTAAATTTAGGAGGATGACAATAATTTTTGTGTGTATTTTTAGGAGGATGACAATAATTTTTGTGTGTATTTTTAATAATTTTTGTGTGTATTTTTAGGAGGATGACAATAATTTTTGTGTGTAAATTTAGGAGGATGACAATAATTTTTGTGTGTAAATTTAGGAGGATGACCATAATTTTTGTGTGTATTTTTAGGAGGATGACAATAATTTTTGTGTGTATTTTCAGGAGGATGACAATAATTTTTGTGTGTATTTTTAGGAGGATGACCATAGTTTTTGTGTGTATTTTTAGGAGGATGACAATAATTTTTGTGTGTATTTTTCAGGAGTATAAGAGGTTCTGGCCGGAGAAGGAATCACCAATGGCCATAGGTACTGGTCTGTTTAAGGTAGTGTTTCAGGAGGAAGAAGTGCTAGCCCGCTACACTGTCAGGGAGTTCCTTCTTGAGTCCACACAGGTACAAAATGTCTTTTAATTCTCTTTACATGGTAACTTTACAAAATGGAAAACAAAAGAAAGCTTTTCAAAAGAGAAGGGTTTTTAATTTAGTTTATATACTTTTTTGACCTTGAAACTTGTTCAATATGTGCTTGCCACGTTTTGAGTCAACGAGATCAACATCAGTGGCCATTTTGGAAATTGATACTTTAAGTATGTTTCAACCATTAATGAAGATTTATATAAATGGATCATCCTAAAACTTACTGAAGTATTTTATAATGAATTTCCAAGCTCTGATCGGGGTTAGGAATGATGAATGTCTTTATTGTAAATGGCATATCATTTTCCTATATACATGGTTTTAGGATGACTATGTGTTGATGACACGGATCCTGACATGTGATGGATGGCCCCAGAAGGAGCAGACCTTGTGGAAGGCCTTTGACATGATAGAGACGGTTAAAGACCTCCATAAACAGAATGATATTGGACCTGTTATAGTTGTGGACAGGTAAGTCAAAGGATTAAGGATTAGTCAAAGTCATGGACAGGTAAATCACAGGATCAGTCATAATTGTTGACAAGTAAGTCAAGGATTAGTCAAAGTTGTGGACAGGTGAGTCAATGATCAGTCAGAGTTGTGGACAGGTGAATCAAGGATCTGTCAGAGTTTTGGACAGGTGAATCAAGGATCTGTCAGAGTTGTGGACAGGTGAATCAAGGATCTGTCGGAGTTGTGGACAAGTGAATCAAGGATCTGTCAGAGTTGTGGACAGGTGAATCAAGGATCTGTCAGAGTTGTGGACAGGTGAATCAAGGATCTGTCAGAGTTGTGGACAGGTGAATCAAGGATCTGTCGGAGTTGTGGACAAGTGAATCAAGGATCTGTCAGAGTTGTGGACAGGTGAATCAAGGATCTGTCAGAGTTGTGGACAGGTGAATCAAGGATCTGTCAGAGTTGTGGACAGGTGAATCAAGGATCTGTCGGAGTTGTGGACAGGTGAATCAAGGATCTGTCAGAGTTGTGGACAGGTGAATCAAGGATCTGTCGGAGTTGTGGACAAGTGAATCAAGGATCTGTCAGAGTTGTGGACAGGTGAATCAAGGATCTGTCAGAGTTGTGGACAGGTGAATCAAGGATCTGTCAGAGTTGTGGACAGGTGAATCAAGGATCTGTCGGAGTTGTGGACAAGTGAATCAAGGATCTGTCAGAGTTGTGGACAGGTGAATCAAGGATCTGTCGGAGTTGTGGACAAGTGAATCAAGGATCTGTCAGAGTTGTGGACAGGTAAGTCAAGGATCTGTCAAAGTTGTGGATAGGTGAATCAAGGATCTGTCAGAGTTGTGGACAGGTGAATCAAGGATCTGTCAGAGTTGTGGACAGGTAAGTCAAGAATTAGTCAGAATTGTGGACAGGTAAGTCAAGGATTAGTCAAAGCTGTGGACAGGTAAGTGTCACTGGATCAGTCGGAGTTGTGGACAGGTAAGTCAATGATTAGTCAGAATTGTTGACAGGTAAGTCATAAGGTCAGTCAGAGTTGTTGGTTAAACTCACATAAGATTAGGTCAATCATGGTAAATATTGACAGGTAAATATTGGTTGCATGTGCACAGGTAAAATCTATTAAGGAAAGCTATGATAATTTATGTAAATTAAATGTAAGCTGGCCTGAACTACTTTGTACTTTAATAATGTTAAAGCCTTGCAATATAATTAGATACAGAGAATGGCACACCTGTACAATGTTATTCATCTGATAAATTGCAATATATTTAGATACAGAGAATGGCACACCTGTACAATGTTATTCATCATATAAATACAGACAGTGTAGGATAAAAAATATATGATAATGAATTCTGATTTGTACATGTCAGGTACGGAGGAGTGGAAGGCTGTGTGTTCTGTGCCCTGTGGTCACTACATGATCAGCAGATTCATGATAAAGTAGTGGACATTTATCATCTGTGTAAACTGTTCCACCTGAAACGACCAGGCATCATAGGAACGCTGGTAAGTTATCACCAGGGAGTTAGTGTCCATTTTTGTGTCACATACTAAACGGATATCTGATCTGAACTAAAGATCCTTGGTGAATGTGAAACTGTCTGTCCATATCACAGTGTTTCTGCTGCCCAGATTTCCATACTCATTACATTAAAATGTGACCTATTGATATCGTGATTTCGTGTCTAGGTTTGGTGATTGTGTGATGATGTCATTATTAGATGTATTTAGTAAACAAATTTGTAATTTTATGCAAAACCCAACTGTCATATAATATTGGTTCATAGACATTGGTTCTGTAGGAGGACATTGCAACAGTGTCTTAGGTGTGTGTGGTATATTGTTATTTAAGTATTGGAATCCTTTCAGTTGAGATGGTATTTATAGGGATATGAATGCCAATTAAAAACAGTTCAATGCTTAAATAAATGAATCATTTCCACAAACCATCATCTTATATGGACAGGCTACCTCAGTTTGTTTACATTATTTGCAATATTCCTACTCCATTTATGGTTGATGACCTGGTAATGCAAAACCGACTTTAGTAAGGTTCTTTGTAAATCTTCATCACTCTTGTCCCATTACAGTAAATCTTCATCACGCTTGTCCCATTACAGTTAATCTTCATCACTCTTGTCCCATTACAATAAATCTTCATCACTCTTGTCCCATTACAGTTAATCTTCATCACACTTGTCCCATTACAGTAAATCTTCATCACCCTTGTCCCATTACAGTAAATCTTCATCACTCTTGTCCCATAACAGTAAATCTTCATCACTCTTGTCCCATTACAATAAATCTTCATCACTCTTGTCCCATTACAGCTAATCTTCATCACTCTTGTCCCATTACAGTAAATCTTCATCACGCTTGTCCCATTACAGTTAATCTTCATCACTCTTGTCCCATTACAATAAATCTTCATCACTCTTGTCCCATTACAGTTAATCTTCATCACACTTGTCCCATTACAGTAAATCTTCATCACCCTTGTCCCATTACAGTAAATCTTCATCACTCTTGTCCCATAACAGTAAATCTTCATCACTCTTGTCCCATTACAATAAATCTTCATCACTCTTGTCCCATTACAGCTAATCTTCATCACTCTTGTCTCATTACAGTAAATCTTCATCACTCTTGTCCCATTACAATAAATCTTCATCACCCTTGTCCCATTACAGTAAATCTTCATCACTCTTGTCCCATTACAGTAAATCTTCATCACCCTTGTCCCATTACAGTAAATCTTCATCACTCTTGTCCCATTACAGTTAATCTTCATCACTCTTGTCCCTTTACAGTAAATCTTCATCACTCTTGTCCCATTACAGTAAATCTTCATCACTCTTGTCCCATTACAGTTAATCTTCATCACTCTTGTCCCATTACAATAAATCTTCATCACTCTTGTCCCATTACAGTTAATCTTCATCACTCTTGTCCCATTACAGTAAATCTTCATCACTCTTGTCCCATTACAATAAATCTTCATCACCCTTGTTCCATTACAGTAAATCTTCATCACTCTTGTCCCATTACAGTAAATCTTCATCACCCTTGTCCCATTACAGTAAATCTTCATCACTCTTGTCCCATTACAGTAAATCTTCATCACTCTTGTCCCATTATAGTAAATCTTCATCACTCTTGTCCCATTACAGTAAATCTTCATCACTCTTGTCCCATTACAGTAAATCTTCATCACGCTTGTCCCATTACAGTTAATCTTCATCACTCTTGTCCCATTACAATAAATCTTCATCACTCTTGTCCCATTACAGTTAATCTTCATCACTCTTGTCCCATTACAGTAAATCTTCATCACTCTTGTCCCATTACAATAAATCTTCATCACCCTTGTTCCATTACAGTAAATCTTCATCACTCTTGTCCCATTACAGTAAATCTTCATCACCCTTGTCCCATTACAGTAAATCTTCATCACTCTTGTCCCATTACAGTAAATCTTCATCACTCTTGTCCCATTATAGTAAATCTTCATCACTCTTGTCCCATTACAGTTAATCTTCATCACTCTTGTCCCATTACAGTAAATCTTCATCACTCTTGTCCCATTACAGTTAATCATCATCACCCTTGTCACATTACAGTAAATCTTCATCACTCTTGTCACATTACAGTAAATCTTCATCACTCTTGTCCCATTACAGTAAATCGTCATCACTCTTGTCCCATTACAATAAATCTTCATCACCCTTGTCCCATTACAGTAAATCGTCATCACTCTTGTCCCATTACAATAAATCTTCATCACTCTTGTCCCATTACAGTAAATCGTCATCACTCTTGTCCCATTACAGTAAATCTTCATCACTCTTGTCCCATTACAGTAAATCGTCATCACTCTTGTCCCATTACAGTAAATCTTCATCACCCTTGTCCCATTACAGTAAATCTTCATCACCCTTGTCCCATTACAGTAAATCTTCATCACTCTTGTCCCATTACAGTAAATCGTCATCACTCTTGTCCCATTACAGTAAATCTTCATCACTCTTGTCCCATTACAGTAAATCTTCATCACTCTTGTCCCATTACAGTAAATCTTCATCACTCTTGTCCCATTACAGTAAATCGTCATCACTCTTGTCCCATTACAGTAAATCTTCATCACTCTTGTCCCATTACAGTAAATCTTCATCACTCTTGTCCCATTACAGTAAATCTTCATCACTCTTGTCCCATTACAGTAAATCGTCATCACTCTTGTCCCATTACAGTACTACATCACTCTTGTCCCATTTTTAGATAGTTTTAGATAGGGATTAGCTGTTGTACCAGGCTGATTGATATTGTATAGGATTGCTGAATACATTGTTTCTTGTTGTTGCAGGAGGATTACCTGTTTCTGTATAAAGCCATGGAGAGCTATATCCAGGACTGTAGTGAAAAGGAATCAAACAATCTCTCTCATCACTTACATTTACGGAACTCTTCTAAGAAAAATGGCACTATGCCACGTAGTCCTACGTTATCACAAAAGGCAGAGACAATTGTGTGACACATTGTGAAAGAGTGATGTGCCTGTGGTTACCTGGAGGATGGGCTCTGTTGCTGTTGTGATGCATTGTTGTTGTGATCATCCCTGGATGTTCATTCTTCGGTGCTTTTTCAGTCTTATTTCTGCTTAAGTTGTCGTTATTGGTGAAACTTTCCATCTTCATCCACTGACTGGGACCAAGTCAAGTTACACTTGGTTTATGTATACCTACCACTTAGGTTTGTGACAGTGTGCCAACGTCATCCACATATACTACTACCTAAGTTTGTGACAGTGTGCCAACGTCATCCTTATATACCACCGGTACCTACTACCTAAGTTTGTGACAATGTGCCAACGTCATCCACATATACTTACTACCTAAGTTTGTGACAGTACCATCTACCAGTAGGTTTATGACAGCGTGCTGCGGGATCTATGTATTCTTACTACTTACATTTGTGACAGTGTACATGTAGATCCATATTTACTCATCGCAAGGTCTACAACAGTGTGCCAACCTTGTCCATTTATACCTGCTACCTAGGTTTGTGAAAGTACCACCCATCAATAGGTTTATGACAGCGTGTTGCCCGATCTATGTATACCTACCACCGAGATTTACGACAGTATGTCTGCGTGGTCCATGGAGATCTTCCACCTACTGGTAGGTTTTCAACAGTGTACCTGTGGAATCTAAGTATACCTACCACCTAGGTTTGTGATCATGTACTTGAGGGTCCATGTAGACTTACATTTACGATAGTGTGCCCACAGGATCAATGTATACTTACTGCCAAGATTTACTTCAGTGTGCCCGAATCATTCCTCAGTATACTGCAGAACTGAAACTCTCACCTAACTAATCAAAGGCGAGTGGATCACATGCCCTCCAAACTGGACTGGTTTGACCAGTTAAACTTGTGCCATTTGTGTGTGGGGAAATGACTGGAATAGTGACAGTTCTGCCCTTCTAGACCACACTTTCCTTCCCAGCAGTGTACAACTTCCTGTAGCAGATAACATGACTGACAAGAAGTCAGAACTCAGACCGGATCACATTAGTCCCTACCGGACATAGTCTATATCAACCTTACGACAATTATTTAAGGGGTACAGACATTGTGTTGTGATGGAATAAACAATTGAAATGTCTGTTGTATATCTTCTGCTATAAGTAACGGCTTAATGCTTTAATAGAGTACTATCCATATTTGCCAAGAGAGATGTTTTTCATTGTCATTTTAAGAATAATGTTAAATGTGTTTGTTGCTTATGTTATAAATACCTGCAGGTTATGATCCAAGTACACATCATAAATATTTACCTAAAGTTATATAACTTCAGTCAGTTTCTCTTGACTTGTCATTTCAAAATCAGGTATCATGGTGTATCATGTAACATACATGGAGGGTCATGTGACAAGGAATATCATGTGACATGCATTTAATTGTATGACATAGTTCATCATGTGACATGCATGGAAGGTCATGTGAATTGATATATCATGTGACATGCATTAACTTTGTTGTGATACCATTCACATAGTTAATGTATCACATGATTTGGTTATACAATTTATTACAGATACAGATGTATACAGCCTAATGCTGTATCATGTATTTTTGTTTATGTTTTCATTATCGTCCTACAAAAGCTTTTTTTCCATCAGACTTTGACATAGAGAGGTGTCTGTTCTAAATGAAATACCAAACCAAAATGTGCCAATATCCCAAAAACTAGTACTAAATCTACCCTAGAAGTGGATATCTTCCTGCCAAATCATTACCAGATGGTCCTTACTCTATAGGACATGCCATGTAGTCACCATGTGTGTTGTAGGACCATGTATTCATTCTAATTTAACCAAACATTTTTTCCTATTCTGTGAATGTGTGGTGAATATATTTTTCATACCATATAAAGAATGTCAGTGTCTATATTTACCATCAGCATAACCTACCTGGTAAACCTTACATTGTATATACTATTGACTCTTACAATACAGATTGCTTCATAAAATCATGTATGAAAAATCTTACATCACACTATAATTTGGTGAAAAAATACCCTGAGATCTGATTATATATCCTACACTCCTCCTATGACATAATCAAGTTTTTTACAATAATCATTGATACTGAGCTAGCAATTTGTTTTTTATGCTATTGGTTCTTCATGAAGAAAATAAGAATTTGAAAATTTGGGTATGATTAATCTATTGCGTATCAATATCAGCTTAAAAGGAGTAAAAATTCTGTTTTTGTGAACAAAACTTCGGAGAATATATCCTGAATGCTTACGAAACTTAAATTCATGTGAACATTCTGGCTATTTATGTCATGTGTGAGCTATTAGTGGATTGTTATATAGCTGACATGCTGAAGGGAGATTTATTTTATCGTTTTTTTCTCAGGACTTACAAAATGCTGTTTTATTGCTGTAGGTGTAAACATATAGATTTATCAAAGAGTATTTATGTCACTTATTCAGATGCTGAATGACTTGTACATGTGAATTGTTCCTGATCAAAAGTAATACAATGATGATCAAATATATACATACGCTTAATGATGAAACCTTGATGATGTAATATGTAGCCTACCAGTGTTGTAAATGTGTATTTATAAATACCTGTTAACTATCAGCAATGAATATGTTAGAGAATTATAAGAAAATCAGCCATCAAAGGTAATTTTTTATAAAAAAACCAGATGAGTATTAATATATGATGAATAATGAAATTAGATAAATTTCTTATCAGTATAAAGTTAGCTTATGATAGAGTATAATTTTTCAGTGTACAGTTAGTTCACAAAGTAGTAAACTATTCTTAGACTTATTTTGGTAGGTTAATGAATAGAATATTGAAATTCTTTATTTCATGAATGACAATTAAAATAAAAAGAACTTAATCCCTTTAGAATTTTCTTTATCAAAAATCAACAAAACAATAAACTGCAAAAAGTTATCTTAGAATTTGTATGTTTAAATCATTGAATTTCAAAATTAAATTTAAACTCAAATGTGCACAACATTATAGTATTTAGTATAGGCCATATTGATTTGTATCTATACAGTTGCTTCTGATATTGTTATTGTCATTGATCCAATATGATGTTTCAGAGCTTAAAGATATAGGATGTTCATTTTTAATGAATAAAAACTATTGGATAAAAGAGCTGCACATCATGGTGTGTGCTAGTTGATTTTACCAGCATCTTACAATGTGATAGATATCCTGTGACTGCTCTGCTTTTGTAAGGAATGATTTTAAAAGATACAATCAGAATGTGAAATAATGTACATTCCAACTGCTACAATTGCACAACAGGTGAAATGTTTATGAATAAAGAGTAAATATGTCATTTTGAAATAATTAATATGGTCAGTTTGTGGATACATTTAAAACATCTTAGAAACCATCAGGTTAGGATTTGACCGAAGTCATTCTACACATAGCAGTCATTTATACTTAATTTAGGTAATAGCATTCAGAAATCAAGTTATCTTGCCAATTTTTACAATCAAAATGAAAATATTTTCGTTGTTTTTCTTTTTTTTTATAGAAATGTTGTTCGTGTTAGTGCTACAATGATACAAGAATTAAAGTTACATATTGACATTATGCTACCCATCATCTCAATCAACTTCTGGAACAAGCTGCATTTAATTCTTTATGAATAAGATTTTGTTTTCATAACAACTGGATGCCTCAACATTTAGAGGTTGGACCATTAGAGCAGATGAACTAGTCATAGTTGATTCCATGGTGTAATGGACACTGATGGTATAATAATTAGCTGTACTGTTACAGAAAACTTTATAATGAATGTTACTCTGAACATGTACTTTGAATTTCTACTGACTTCAAGTTCATCGTGACCAGAAATAGTGTAACCTTGACTGTAAGGTGAAATTAAGATATTACTCATTCAAGTTAACTTTCCTTGAGTTCCGTGATTTTGATTTTCTCAAGTCCCCCAGCTTGTAGACAAGGTGTGTGTTAATATTTTACCTCTATATTAAATATTTTTGCTCAAATTTGACCATTGTTTTACGTGGTAACCTGAGTGTGGTATAGTTTGATGACCAGTAGCTAGTGGTTTATGCTAGCCCCCCCCATATACATATCTTATCTGGGAGCAATACCACAGCCAGTTATACCACATATTTTGATAATTTCTTTCTGTTTTGGTGACTGATGTTTAGAATACTTAGTGAACTTTGTTTTGTACCTTTATATCTGATTTTAAACGATTTGACATTTCCTTTTTTAACAATGAAACATTCAATGAAAAGTTTGATTTGTAACTGTTGATAAAAAACCTGTCATACATAGATTTTAATAACTTTGTTGTACATCTTCTAAAACCTTAAATGTAGGAAATCAGATGCTCTGAACATCCGTTTATCTCTTTAAAGTTTCACAAAATACACAAGTTGGAGAGGTAATATATAATCCAATGTTCTTAATGATAGTTTTGTATTTTTTAACAAGTTTGACTTGTGTAAATCACTATGTGGCTATGTTGAATGTGTAATGTTCCATTATTTTTGTATGACATTGTGAACTTGGTATGTGTTAACAGAACTGGAGAATTGGTTGTTAAGGAGATTTTGTTACCTATGATATACACTGTGTATATGTTTATGTAGATCGATACATATAGAACTTCATTGTGTTGTGTAATTGTTTAAGCCATTTCTGCCAAATGTATTTTAGATTGTATTTGAAAATATGAACACTAACGGGATCTGCAGAATATAATACCATATACATAAAATAATTTTAATCATTTACATTTTTTATTTAAATGTAAAAATCATATCCGTGACTTGTAAGAAAAAACATTTCCCCCCCTTTATTGGTAATATACTGCTTTGACAACATAATGATGTACTATATGTTTATATTTATTACAAAGGCTGTAATTATTACTACAGGTATGAGCTGATAGGCTGTCATGAGGTATATGTAATGATTGACTTGTTTCTATGTGAGTACGATACTTTCATGTTAATCAAGACATTTTCTATCAGAATTGTACATTTTAATTTATATAGTTCACTTTCATGTTATTTACATAAGTATAGCTTCTAGTCATACATGCTTTTTGTGTGAATGTAAAAAAATTGTGTGTGTTATAAGGCCAAACCAATTGTGTATGTGTTGTATGTTCTCAAAATGGGCACCTGCAATATTACAGCTTTAACAGAGGGTCTCACCACTTTTTATAACTGTGGTTAATAGTCATTTTATTTTAGTCCTGATTTCTAAACATGAACAAGCAACTGCAAAGTAATGGAGATTTCCTTCCAAATTCAGCAGTGGTAATACATATGTGTCTTAGTTTCACATCATCTAGACGGTAGTGAGGGCCTTTACTCTTGGATAGGGAGGTCTTGAGTGTTAAGTTTGATGATCTGTTCTCTTATAAGTAGAAAGTAGGACTGAAATTTTAGGGCATACCCTCTGTTATATAGACTGGTGAAACCAAAATTCAGGACACACCCTTTTCCATAAGGACAAATCGTACTGACATTTAGGACATACCCTCTTCCTTTAGGACTTGTTAAACTGAAATTGAGGGCATACCCACGACCTTTAGGAATGGAATGATTGAACTAAAATTCAGGACATACTCTCTTCCAGATGGAGAGATTGTACTGAAATTGAGAGCATATCCTTTTCCATGAGAATTGAATGAACTGATATTGTGGGCATACTCTCTTCCTAAAGAACTGATTGAACTGAAGTTAAGGACATACCTTCTTTCATGTTAACAGATGGGGCTTATATTGGAGATAAACGTTCTTCTTGGATCAATTAGTTTATCTTTAAGCATTCAGTGCTGTAGAATGTCCTATTGGATATGCAAATGATGTCATATTCATCTTTCTCTTGCATGAGCACTTCCTTCAAAATGAAATAGCAGCAATAATGTCATTGTTTAGAAGGTTTTAAAACACCACAAAATTCCATATATTTAAACATAGAATTAGTATGATTTTGTCCTGTTGTTCATCAGTAGACTCATTGTAATGATGCTGGAACAAACTTTCTGAAATTAGGACTTTAATACAACTTTTACGTGTTTTAAATTTACATATACATCTGTGATGTAAACTGTTGTAAATTTGTTCCTGAAAGAAAAGGGGGCTCATTTTTTTGACATTTTAGTGTGTAACTTAAACACAGATGATAATAAGTTTGTAAATTGTACTGCAGTACTGAAGAGAGGTTGTAACTGTTGTTTGTAAATTGTACTGCAGTGCTGATGTTGTAACAGTGAATGACACACAGCAGTACTGAGGACTGGTTTGTATTTGTTGTGTGTACTTCAGGTGTTGTGATTGTCTAACCATCTTTCATAGCTTTCGTTGTTAAAAACTTGTATGTACATTGTACAGATTTTCTAACAAACTACCATAAATATCTTAAATAGATCAGAAATGTAAAACTATTGTGTTTGTTGTTTTTCTTTGTTGCATACCACACTTTAATTCATTCAAAAAGTGGCATGGTTCTAAATATATACATAAACTATCAGACAATGAAAATTATGAAATTTATTGAATTATGTGGCAAGTGCACCTCCCTATCTAGATTTTGACTTCTCTTTCGATCTTTTTGAATTTTCCTCCCTTAGTTGCCTCCTAGGCTTCAAAATTTAGGCCCATAGCATCACTGATAATTCTTTGAATTAAAAGATGCTATTTGCTTGTGTCTTTTGAACAATTTTTCAGATAAAAGATCAAAAGGATATATTATAATACCAATGTACGACTGTCCATCCACGTTATCAGGACAATAATACAAGGTCAAGTGGACAGATCAAGCTCAAATTTCAGACACTGCTTTAATATCCAATGTCCTTGTTTTGGATTGCTATACATATCAATGGGTTGAAAACCAAGTTCAAAGTTACTATAATTGGAAAATTAATTTCTGCTCAATAACTTGGTTCCCATGGTCCAATCAAACTCATACATCACATAACTATGCTTGTTATTTTTGGACTTCTTTTCAAGTTAGAAATATTGATAGTCAGTTGTAGACACAACAACATGTATTCTGCTTAATGATGACAATAATTTAAGTTCTTCTGGACTGAGCAATCTCAAAAATTACACAACGGTTTGGACTATGGACATATCAGAGGAATTATGATCATTAAGTAATACCTGGTTTTAATTTGAAATTTTATTAGACCTGAAACATTCACTTTTTGCATTTCGCTCAACATCTCAGACTTTCAAATTAGGTCAAGGTCTTTTTTTTTTCAAGAAACATGTAACAATAAAATACTTTACCTAATAAATGTCAGTTTTCAGTCTACTCTTCAAAGAGTGTCAAATCTACACCAGCCAAAGTGTCACAACTGCTGGCTATCATGTATCAAAATCATGAAGATGAGTAAAGTTTAGTTGTTCATAAAAAATCAAGAGCTGCTCCCGCCACATAATTCCATTAAAAATTAGGAATGGATTTTTAGAAAATGTAAATCTTTGAAACAGTTGTATTTTCATGACCCTAGGACTCTCCATGATCAAGATAATTAAAAAAAAAAGGTACAACATAGTTTCAAAATTTTGAAATCATTCATCCTTGACTCCTCGAATGCTTGATCAGTCACACTTAATCTCAGCATGCTTATTGGCTCAATATAACCTTTGGACATTTGATAACTAAGAAGTAATTTAGATATTAGACACATTCCATCTCTGTGACCCTGAAAGGAGGTCAAGGCTATTTATTTGAATAGATTTGAAAGTCATTCACCCTCGTATACTGGAGTAATACTTTTTACCTTTGCCTCTTGGGAATAACTTGTTTGAAGTTATTGCCATGGGGATGATGGAAACAGTAGGGAAGGTGAGCTAATTATAAGAAACTGAGAAAAACTTGCATTGGATGACATGTAAATAATGATATGAGAAAAAATCATTATCAACAATTTGGAATAGAATGACCAATCAGGAAAGGCCTGTGGTATGTATGATCGATTTTAGATAATATTTGTAACAATAAAGGAACTGTTACACGATGAAATAAAGTATTTAATACATGTTCATTATCCATAACAAAATATTGTAGGGTCTAAATAATGACAGAAGTTTAAATAATAAAACAGACATAATTTCAGCCTTGGATATACAATAATTTATCTATATCCGTTTTGAAAAAAATATTAAAACAAGCAACTCAATTCAATACTACACATTCAATACGAAAGTGAAAGTAACAAATATGGCCAAAAAGAATATTCATGCGCGGATATGGAAGCATACCTTTTGCATTATCATTGTGCATATTTAATGTCACTTGGTTCTTATTAATAGTCTATTAATGTATATTTTACAATTAATCAGATAACATGGAAGGTATTGATAGTATTATAGTGCACTATTTTACTTCGAGTAATAATGATATTACTTCCTGTTCCAACCGGTAGTTGGCAAATAGCCTTAGCTGTACGTGTTTGTTTTGGAAAATTACGGTGGAAATCTGAGAGATTCTACGGTACTGTATAACTTATCATAATATGCTAAATCTAGTTGAAATGTATTTAGTTGCAAGTAACTTCTTTTATCTTGTTAATATCTTAACAGAGACGTTTATCCTTATTAGACCGTTTAGCACTCTAGTTCTGTTGTACACGCTTGCTTGCCTTATTAATGGCGAACGGCCTGTTGCTATATTGTCATGTCAGCCATTTGATTATGGCCATGGCTGTTTACATCTTTACAGTGGATCAAAAAGTCTGAAATAATAGAATACTAGTAACTCTAAATTGTTTTCATGTCTGATTAGAGGTAGATCTAAATTTACTTTCACTCCGACAAATGCACCTTGGCTTAAGTCATAAATATAGAATGTATGCCTTATTTTTTTCAAAAGACCCAAACAAAAGTGAGTTTTATGCAAACTCCCTCATACCAAATTACAGTTCTATATCAGTAGAGAACTCTCCGTTACATTGATTAACCATACCTCTTTAATCTTTCAGAAAAGCACATATACAGTACATGTATGAGTACATTCTAAATATAGATTCACTTACTTGTGCATGTGGCACTCCATTGAACTACACAGTGGTGTATTGGTGAATTAAATTGTAAACTGAATGGTGAAAGACCAGTATTTTTCTAAAAAGTATCCACAGATACGACCTCAAATTGGGCGCGACAATTTACCCAAATACACCCAAATCTTTTATAAATATACCGAAATTAAGTCAAATCTTACCCAAATATGCCCTAATATACCCAAATAAAGGCAAATTTTACCCAAATATACCCAAAATCTACCCAAATATACTCAAATAAAGCCAAATCGATTGACAGGAACATGCTATAACGGGCTCTGTATTATCAGTGACGTATATCTGTCACATACGTTCCTGGTATTATATTTTATTACTAATAAACGATATACACATGATCAAATAGATTATCTTTGTCTAATTTTAGCTTCCATTTACTAAAGCAATTCATATAAATTCCGTAATACCATATAGGCTAATGGGCAAAAACAGACAAAAATGAAGCGGGAATGAATTTGGGTAAGATTTAGGTATATTTGGGTACAATTTGGCTTTATTTGGATGCATTTGGGTACAATTTGGTTTTATTTGGGTAAATCGAGAAAAGATTTTGGTGTATTTGGGTAAATTTGGGTGTATTTGGGTAAATCGTCGGGCCACTCAAATTCGCTCAACTGAAATGATTGACATGTATATCAAACATGTTACTGCACTTCTGTTTCCAATGACATCACTAAATCACAGAGATGGTTGAGTTAGCTGAGAGTGACCTAGAAGTACACAATAAAATAATGGTGCTGAAATATCATGGATAAATGTTGATGTGTGCACCAATTCTAAAGGGTTAGATTCAAGCTCATTTAGTCTTTCTATAACAAAAACTATTTAAATAAAGTGATTTTGTCATCTCTCGTTCTACAACTTGGTAATAAGATAGAATCAGGAATGAGTCATCAAACATGATGATTTAAGAATCATCATTATTTTTTTTCATTATAAGGCATGGGTGTTTGGACATATGTAGCCAAGCTATTGCAAAAAGACATGGCCTTTTATTCCTGGCCAATTTTTATTCACAGATGACAACAAAACATTTGCTTCTAAAGATGGATTGATAGGTTATTATTTCATCATATCTGAGAGCATGTTTGACATATAAAATGTATATTAGGAAAAAATACACAAATGCCAATGAAAGATATACTTCTGACATTCTATGGTTAATGATTAAATAACAATTTTTTATTCTTTCTGGAAGTGTAACATGTAACAGTAACCAAAATTATCAGGGTGTTAGGTCACACTGGTCAAAAGTTCAGGTGATACTTTTTGACAAAATAGCCATTCCCAATTACATAATGGTCAGAAAACCGATGTTGAGATGTTCTATATGTCAATTTTTAACTTACCAGTACACCAATGTGTTGGGTTTCAGAGATAATCCTGTGAGATGAGAGGCTGATTTGGAGTTTAGAGCATCCTAAGAAATCCAAGAATGTTCTCAAACTATGTTTTACGGAAATTTGTCTTAATATTAAAGATGTACTTAGTTTATTAAATTTTGTAGAAATTCTAAGAAAATGAAATTGAAAGAGTTATTTTTTTATCAGGATACAACATATTTTTTATATCTGTAATTAGAAAAAAGTAATTGTTGATTTATTTGAAAGTATGTATGCATCGTTTACATTTATGTACTTTTCAGCACAAACAAGTTTGCAACCATGGCAACACTGACTGAACCACAAAAAGATGGAAAGCAGTCGATCGTTGATGACTTTATGTATGGTTCAAATGTGGCTACTTCACATGTTTACATTCGTATGGGTAAGTGTTCATTTATGTTGCTGTATTTGTATTTGGAGAAAGCATTAAAGAATAATTGGACAGGCATGTCACTGCTGTTTTAGTAGGATAGTCATGTTACAGTAGGAAACAGCTGTAGAAGTAGGATAGCCTTGTCACAGGTGTAGGGAACAGCTATAGGAGTAGTATAGCCTTGTCACAGGTGTAGAGAACAGCTACAGAAGTAGGATAGCCTTGTCACAGGTGTGGGGAACAGCTGTAGGTGTAAGATAGCCTTGTCACAGGTGTAGAGAACAGCTACAGGAGTAGGATAGCCTTGTCACAGGTGTAGAGAACAGCTACAGGAGTAGGATAGCCTTGTCACAGGTGAAGGGAACAGCTGTAGGAGTAAGATAGCCTTGTCACAGGTGTAGAGAACAGCTACAGGAGTAGGATAGCCTTGTCACAGGTGTAGAGAACAGCTACAGGAGTAGGATAGCCCTGTTACAAGTGTAGGGAACAGCTATAGGAGTAGGATAGCCCTGTCACAGGTGTAGGGAACAGCTATAGGAGTAGGATAGCCTTGTCACAGGTGTAGAGAACAGCTAAAGGAGTAGGATAGCCTTGTCACAGGTGTAGGGAACAGCTATAAGAGTAGGATAGCCTTGTCACAGGTGTAGGGAACAGCTACAGGAGTAGGATAGCCTTGTCACAGGTGTAGGGAACAGCTAAAGGAGTAGGATATCCTTGTCACAGGTGTAGGGAACAGCTATAAGAGTAGGATAGCCTTGTCACAGGTGTAGGGAACAGCTGTAGGAGTAAGATAGCCTTGTCACAGGTGTAGAGAACAGCTACAGGAGTAGGATAGCCTTGTCACAGGTGTAGAGAACAGCTACAGGAGTAGGATAGCCCTGTTACAAGTGTAGGGAACAGCTATAGGAGTAGGATAGCCCTGTCACAGGTGTAGGGAACAGCTATAGGAGTAGGATAGCCTTGTCACAGGTGTAGAGAACAGCTAAAGGAGTAGGATAGCCTTGTCACAGGTGTAGGGAACAGCTATAAGAGTAGGATAGCCTTGTCACAGGTGTAGGGAACAGCTACAGGAGTAGGATAGCCTTGTCACAGGTGTAGGGAACAGCTAAAGGAGTAGGATATCCTTGTCACAGGTGTAGGGAACAGCTATAAGAGTAGGATAGCCTTGTCACAGGTGTAGGGAACAGCTATAAGAGTAGGATAGCCCTGTCACAGGTGTAGGGAACAGCTATAGGAGTAGGATAGCCTTGTCACAGATGTAGGGAACAGCTGTAGGAGTAGGATAGCCTTGTCACAGGTGTAGGGAACAGCTACAGGAGTAGGATAGCCTTGTCACAGGTGTAGGGAACAGCTAAAGGAGTAGGATATCCTTGTCACAGGTGTAGGGAACAGCTATAAGAGTAGGATAGCCTTGTCACAGGTGTAGGGAACAGCTATAGGAGTAGGATAGCCCTGTCACAGGTGTAGGGAACAGCTATAGGAGTAGGATAGCCTTGTCACAGATGTAGGGAACAGCTGTAGGAGTAAGATAGCCTTGTCACAGGTGTAGGGAACAGCTATAGGAGTAGGATAGCCTTGTCACAGGTGTAGGGAACAGCTATAGGAGTAGGATAGCCTTGTCACAGATGTAGGGAACAGCTGTAGGAGTAAGATAGCCTTGTCACAGTTGTAGGGAACAGCTATAGGAGTAGGATAGCCTTGTCACAGGTGTAGGGAACAGCTATAGGAGTAGGATAGCCTTGTCACAGGTGTAGGGAACAACTATAAGAGTAGGATAGCCTTGTCACAGGTGTAGGGAACAGCTATAGGAGTAGGATAGCCCTGTCACAGGTGTAGGGAACATCTGTAGGAGTAAGATAGCCTTGTCACAGGTGTAATGAACATCTATAGGAGTAGGATAGCCTTGTCACAGGTGTAGGGAACAGCTGTAGGTGTAAGATAGCCTTGTCACAGGTGTAGAGAACAGCTAAAGGAGTAGGATAGCCTTGTCACAGGTGTAGGGAACAGCTACAGGAGTAGGATAGCCTTGTCACAGGTGTAGGGAACAGCTGTAGGAGTAGGATAGCCTTCTCACAAGTGTAGGGAACATCTGTAGGAGTAGGATAGCCTTGTCACAGGTGTAGGGAACAGCTGTAGGAGTAGGATAGCCTTCTCACAAGTGTAGGGAACATCTGTAGGAGTAGGATAGCCTTGTCACAGGTGTAAGGAACATCTATAGGAGTAGGATAGCCATGCAAAGTTGAAGGAAACAGATGAAGAGTGGGACAGCCATGTCACATTTGTTGGAAACCTTGATAGTGATAGGAAACACCTGTATAGGAGTAGAATAGTCATGTCACAGCTGTAAAAAATAGTTGTAGGAGTACGACAGCTATGTCACAGTTGTAGGAGAAGGAGAGCTTTTTGTGACAGACTGCTTCCATGGCTGTATTTGTCATACACATATACAACAAAGAGGTCAGGTAGAGAAAGACAGTCTTTAATATCTTCCTGATGTTAGATATGTCAGTCAGGATTCATTTCACTGTTAAAACAGTGCTGATAAAGGACTTGTGAATTTGTATTGCAGGTTTTCTGAGGAAAGTTTATGGTATTCTCACCGCACAGATACTTGTCACTACTGTTGTTGCAGCACTCTTCATGTTGAGTGAAGGATTGGAAAAGTTTGTACAGACAAAGTAGGTCACTGTTACTCAGAATTCTATTAATTATAACTGTTAAATGAAGATTTTCAGAATGAGTAGACTATTATGGGATGTATGGTATGTTTAATCAAATAAATACTTCAGAATTATTCAAAATTACAGACTGAAACTGACATATATGATATATCTGAAAAAAAAAAATTTCAACTATTATGCTGATTATGTACATTAGATACAATGTCATAAAAGGAAATGAAGAAAAAATACCGCTGTTGACTGCAAGCCAACACTATTACATATACTACTGTTTTAACTTTCACATTCTCTAGATGCAGAAACTTTATCAATAAAAACATATATAGTTTTAAGTATCACTGTAATAGGTAAGTAATCCTTAAGTTTTGTTTGGTTGTTGTTGGTGTATAGTCTATATGTTATTTACAATACTCTGTTGTGTATAAATACTGATCTTTTATTGATGTTTGAAGTCAGTGGATGCTGTTGGTGGCCTTTATAGGAACGATAGGTGTTCTGATGGCCCTGATGGTGAAGCGACAAGAAACTCCGACAAACTACATCCTTCTTGGCATATTTGTAAGTAAATACCTCCAAGTAACATCTATCTCTGAGTCTGTTTAAAAACAACAAGAAAATATCTACTCATCAACAGAATCATGATCTAAATCAATTTCATTAAAACTAGGGCAAAATATAAACAAGAAGATTTAAACAGCAACCTCTGAAAAAATACTCGGAGACTAGGACCTGGTGTTCTGGAAGATTAAGGACCTTATGCTACAATGACAACACCCACTACATAAATCTTGGTCAATCAAAGGAAGTAATGTCACATTCTCAAATGACAACAAGGTCTACAACAATGGAACCAAGAGGCAAACTAATGAACATCAAACACATCCAGCTGTAAAATTCCCCATAATTTTCTTTCATCCTGCATCTTTTGAGACCTTGTGCTAGAAGTTCGTCCATCAGATAAGAGTAAACAACATCATTCAAATATGATTCTGTAATGTTATCTCCCTTTCTTTTTGTAATGATGCTGAACATTTATCTTCTTTTGAAATACCTGACTTCATTTTCCTGGTATTTTTTTCAGAGATCTTTGTACAATTTGTTTCTGTCAATTTCAGACACTGTTTGAAGCATACACAGTTGGAGTTGTGGGTATGTAATATTTGTCAAACATGATTTAAATCACAATATCAAATAATGAGGATTCAAGCAAGCAACGTATTAGCAATAGTGTAATATTGGCAAGAATTATGTAAATAGATGAAAAAGTGCTCTTTTACAATATATCTATGCAGTGTACAAGCAATATTTCAATGGTATCATGATGTGTATGTTAGTATGTGAGGAATGGAGGACATGTTTGACAAGTCAATCTATACATATAGTTTTAAATTTTGGATTTATCAATTATGAGTATGTATTATGTTTTCAGTAACATTCTACCAAGTACACAGTGTGATTGAAGCCTTTGTCTTGACACTAGCAGTGACCACAGCTCTCACAGCATACACATTCCAGAGCAAACGTGACTTCAGTTCCTGGGGAGCAGGGTAGGTGCTATCTATAGAAATGTCTATAACTTGTAATTTTTAAGTCAGCATTTATCAGGTTTTATATTCTGTTTTATTTTGGAAAGTGTAGGAAGTTCTTCATAATTCCCTGCAAAAAAAGTTTGCAGGAGATATTAAATTGTGTTCTGTTTGCTTTGCAAGGTCATTTCCCAGACTAGTGCTCTGAAACCTTTCAAGATAATTGCTTGAAACTTTGTACAGTAATCAAGCTAGTATTGTAGAAGTGCCATTTAATATGGTGAAGTTCTCCATTTAATTACATTTTTGTTAACATGGATAAAGATAGGCTAAATCACAAAGTTCAGTTTTTCCAGACTAGTATATATTGGGATGTTGTGGTGGTGTAATAGTTAGGTAGTGTGGAATTTTTTGTCTAGGCAATTTGGTGCCACAGATCACAAGTTCAAGGCCTGGACAGGGCACAGTCAAAAATTGTCTTTTTACATTAATTGTGTTACATTGTCATATATATAAATGATTGTGTGTCTTTTGAACAGCGGGGCGTTGGGGATAATGTCATGCTCTGAGTTATGATATATATATCCTTAAGGATTTTATGACGTTTCAGTAACAAAATCCTGTTCTGTATGCTAACTCGGACAGACAGTTACTGAAATACATTGTGCTAAAAATGATATCAGCATGAAATGAATTTAGAACACATACACCCATTGTAATCAAAAATAGATTTTTGCAATGCATGTGTTTATAGTTCATGTTTTTTTTTGTTTGAAGGTTGTTTGCTGCACTTTGGATTCTCATCCTTGCTGGACTTCTTCAGGTAAAATTTTTTCTACACAATCACTTGTTATTCTCTACGTTCTACTGACTGTCAACCCCTTCATTACATTTTTAACAAAGAAGTGCACTGTATACATACCCAAATGCAAAAGTTTCCATGTGAAATGTGTTGAAACGTTAAACTTTGTTAGTGGAAAACACAAGATTGGAAACAGATTGTAAATTTCAGCCACATTACTTTGATGCTAGTTACATTGAGCCAGGTAATTTAAAAGTTGAATATTATAAAACTAGATATTTTTTGTGAAGTCTATCTTTCTGAAGAAAAAATAGCGACAGTAGCTGCTGGGGGCTTATTACAATACTTGTACAAGTCAGATTTTTTATCAGCTTCAAAACAGAAGGAAAAATCTCCCAAGAACCAAGGTTTCTAATACAAGTTACCAGTGGTTTGGTTTTGCTCTATTTCTTCTTATTGTAATTTTCTTATTTCTTCTGCTTTCTTTCGTCACTTTTCTTGAAGAAAGCTAATAGTCAGAGTTCAGTGAAACTGTGTGATGGCAAAACTGAGTACAAAAAATAAACTTTTTTATTGATCAATTACCATGGAAGCTAAATGCAGTGATCTGATAGACCAGAAACCAAATAGTGTCCAATTAGGATAACATTTTGTATGCAAGTGTATTATTATACTATGAACACAACTTCTACAAATATTCTCAACAACTATGGAGGAAGTGTAGGGGACTTAAAACAGCTTCTGTTAATATTAGTTCATGTAAATGTGTACAAGTGATTTACAGTTAATATAAGAAACAAAGATGTGTTTACTTTAGATTGAATATAAAACCTTGTATTACAGATTCTAATCAAATTGTGAGAAGTGTACACAATACTCAAAATTTGAAGGGAAAATCTAGAATGGCTCTCATTGAGTTATCTGCCCTCCATTCCTGCTGACTTTTCCTTTGTTTCGATGTTTTTACAAAATGTTTTTATGTTTCGGAAAGAAATACTCGAGTAAAATCCTTGTAGTCAGTTTTGTAAAGTTCTGAAGCTTGATTATAGATATTGAACACTTGAAAGTGGACTACTGATACTGTTCTAGCAGATTGATGTATATTATGTCCGTTATTTTCTGTAGATCCTTTTCCCGACTGTGATGATGGACAAGGCAATTGCTGTGGGTGGTGCTCTTGTCTTCTCTCTATTTATTATTTTCGATACCCACATGATGATGCACAAGCTGAGTGCAGAAGAGTATATTGTGGCAGCTGTCAATCTTTACCTGGACATCCTCAACCTTTTCCTCTACCTGCTCAGGCTGTTTGGAGAACGAAAAAACTAGTTAGTTAAAATGTTGGCACCAAAATTCTTCAAGATCTTCCACTTCCCCCTCATCCATTTGTGAGGAACCAAAAAACAATCAAATTTTTTTATTCATGTTAACGTTGGAAGTTTGTGAATAGCATGATACATTTATATGATATTCAGAACATTTTACAGAAAATAATAATCCAGAAAACCTTCAAAAGTTTGTTTTAATTAAGTAAGAAATTTACAAGATTCAAGACTAACAATTTCGATCTACATGAGTTTTGATTGAGTTGTTATGCTTAACATTAATACAAATCTATCAGTCAGAATTTTCAGGACTGATCTGGCAAGTTGAAGCTTTTCAAAAACCAAAGCATGAGAACTTTACATTATCTACTTTGAGTGTGGAACTTTTTCACTGTCTTACCATGATCAAGTCCAAGTGTGAGAATAATGTACATAGCAGATGCCAACGATGTTACATGTCTGATGTACAGTTATAATCAGTAAACTAAGCCTGTCTTAAAAATTTGTAAAGTACTAAAGCTGTCTAGTTACTGATAGTTTATTGTCCGTGCCAGTCAGAGATATTTGTTCGAAAACAACACAAAATTCTTTTCTCATCACAGCCTAGGTTGTATCATATGGAAACCATAATGTTACCTGTGAAATCAGGGTGTTTGTTTTACTGGTCACAGTCTAGGTAATATGCGACAGGGAAACCTGTTATTTATGATATCAGGCTGTTTTCTAGGTGGACAGATTGTATGGTGATTTACCAATAGAAACACTGTCAATGAAATTTTACTGTACACATCTGTATAGTCATTATTGTTCTCTCTGGAGGTTAACATCTTATGTGTTGTAGATTATTGAAAATAAATCTTAATTGGTCTCACCTTCCCAAACAGATGTAAAATTGTTGTTTTTACCATGTATTCCATTGTCCAGAGATATTAAACTGACATCATCCTTTCCCATGTGTGTTATTGTCAAATGTTTTATGACTAACATAATAAATTTCGGTTATGAATATGTAATTAATATTTCTAAGTTGTGGCACAGCCTTAATCCTATAATTGTTAGGCCTGTCTGATGGAAGTGACAATTTATTGTTAAAGCATTCATTGGCAGCGGTGATGGGGTCATAGTCATTGTGGGCAAACATCCTACTCATTCACATATACTGTTAGATTTTAAACACTTATTCAGTTTTAGGTATATGAGGCATTGGTACTGAGGTTTTGACATTTCAGTTCGAAGATTTTGAAATTTCAAAAAGAAAAGATTATTGGATGCATTCTCTTCCTGTTTGGTATTTCCTTGAATAGTCCAGATGACATTTTGGTTGTCCAACTTGTTATTTTAATCTTCAGATTTTAATAAGTAGATGTAAATAAAGTCATTTTGCTTTAATAATCGACTTCAGTGGGTTCCTTTATCAGTTGATTTGATGCTGTGATATATCTTTCAGACTTTTGTGAAACGTAAAGTTAAGTTTTACTTACTGTCTTTATCCCAGTATGTACAGAACTTGTAAATTTTGTCAACTTAGATGTTAAGGAATTTTTGTTCAAATAAAAGCTGTTTTTGATCCTTGAATTATTGATCAGAGGTAAAAAAAAATGAAATAAACTCAAAATCATTTCTCAGTTTTATAACACATAGAGATTTGATTACTAGTTTACAGTCATTTATATTGATTTCAAACCTTAAAACAATGTAGTAATAGCTATTGATTAGGTTAATAGCTGTAAAATCCACTTGCATAGCATTGTGATAAAGAATTATTGAAATAGATGGCATATTTAATTAATGAATGAATTCATTCAACTTTGAAAACATGTTGAATACAAATTTAACCAGATACAATCTTATTTTTGAAGTGGTACTTTCTTGTCTGATCATTTATGATTCAGTTGTGTCAAGTGTTGAAGACCTTATAGGTAGATGACCGAGACCTAATATGTAGGTGTTGAACATCTGGTATGTAGGTGTTGGAGACCTGGTATGTAGGTGTTGGAAATCAGTTATATAGGTGTCAGACATCTGGTATATAGGTGTTGGAGACCTGGTATGTAGGTGTCAGACATCTGTTATATAAGTGTTGGAGACCTGGTATGTAGATGTTGGAGACCTGGTATGTAGGTGTTGGAGACCTGGTATGTAGGTGTTGGAGACCTGGTATGTAGGTGTCAGACATCTGTTATATAAGTGTTGGACATCTGGTATGTAGGTGGTGGAGACCTGGTATGTAGGTGTTGGACATCTGGTATATAGGTGTTGGAGACCTGGTATGTAGGTGTCAGACATCTGTTATATAGGTGTCAGACATCTGGTATGTAGGTGTTGGAGACCTGGTATGTAGGTGTTGGACATCTGGTATGTAGGTGTTGGAGACCTGGTATGTAGGTGTTGGAGACCAGGTTTGTAGGTGTCAGACATCTGTTATATAGGTGTTGGAGACCTGGTATGTAGGTGTCGGAGTCCTGGTATGTAGGTGTTGGAGACCTGGTTTATAGGTGTCAGACGTCTGTTATATAGGTGTTGGAGACCTGGTATGTAGGTGTCGGAGACCTGGTATGTAGGTGTCGGAGACCTGGTATGTAGGTGTCGGAGACCTGGTATGTAGGTGTCGGACATCTGGTATGTAGGTGGTGGAGACCTGGTATGTAGGTGTCGGAGTCCTGGTATGTAGGTGTCGGAGACCTGGTATGTAGGTGTCTGACATCTGGTATGTAGGTGGTGGAGACCTGGTATGTAGGTGTCGGACATCTGGTATGTAGGTGTTGGAGACCTGGTTTGAAGGTGTCGGACATCTGTTATATAGGTGTCGGAGCCGTGATATGTACATGTTGTAGACCTATAGATTATAGATTTATGTAGATTTATATAGATTTATATGGATTTTTATGGTGTTGTACACCTTGATTGAATCACACAAAGATTGTTAATACGTTACTTTCCTTTTTATGTTTATGTATAGAATTTTATTTTATTTGTGAAATAAATTTCATTATGGAAATAAAGTAAATGAAAATGGGATCACTTTGTTTGTTTTGATCATGAGATGTTGTACTCATGTAATAGTGTAACAGTACTCATGTAATGGTGTTACAGTACTCATGTAATGGTGTTACAATGCTCGTGTAATGGTGTTACAATACTCATGTAATGGTGTTACAGTACTCATGTAATGGTGTTACAGTACTCATGTAATGGTGTTACAGTACTCATGTAATGGTGTTACAGTACTCATGTAATGGTGTTACAGTACTCATGTAATGGTGTTACAGTACTCATGTAATGGTGTTACAATACTCATGTAATGGTGTTATGGTACTCATGGTGTTATGGTACTCATGTAATGGTGTTACTTTACTCATGTAATGGTGTAACAGTACACATGTAATGTTTTACATTGCTTATGTAATGGTGGTTACCTGTACAGACACTCAGTGGTTTACACACATTAAGGTGCATAAAACATTGTTTCTGCAGGAAAAAGGAAGCTTCATTACTGTCATTTACAAAAACAGTACTTTGCCTGTATAATTTCATTAATGTCATACTCAAATTTCAGGAATATCTGTAAACATTTCAAAGAAATCAAGGATACATGTGACTCTTAATACATCAGCTGCTTACCTCAATCTTTTCCTGCAATGAAGGACCCCTTTCCACCAAGCTGTATGATAAACAGGATGATTTCAATTTTCCTGTTATGAATTTGTCATTTCTGGATAGCATTACTGCTGCTCCCCCAACAGTCTTCAGTTTGGGTCAATGGATTTTGACCAAATTTGGTCTATAAGCATCAGTGCAGGTCAAAGCACAGGTACTTAGCTTGCAGATGAAAAATAGTGTGTATGTAGACATCTTGCCTTGGTTTATCAGGCTCATCTGCCATGGAATGTATTGGTGGGGCCCAAATGGGAAAATAAAAGTAAATCTTTGAAATCTCTTTTCATCTAAGAAATTCTTGATTATTTAGCTGTGAACAAAAACCTTTTCATGAATTACTGAAATAATCTGATGAGTGATCGAGACAAAATACAGGTTTCCTGAACATGGTTGGATAATCTTTCATACAAGAAGCAACAGTAAAAGAACAAGAAGGCCTAGTCTGGCACTTGGAAAGGAATAGGTAACGCAAGAAAATGGACATTTAAAGGAGTGATAAAAAAATCCAACTCCTTGCCAAATTATATTGTGTTTTCACCAACATTGAAAACTTTTGAAACCTGATTGGATGAATACTGGAGACAACCAGAGTGATCGGTACCATACTATCTTAAATCATATTATATTGTGCTGTATTACATTGTAATGTATTTTATCAATTACAGGTATATTTATGCCTGTCTGACAGTGTGTATGATGACTTTTCTTTTTATCTGACGTAGGTGATCTGACTGAGGCCCAACACATAATACTTAGAGTAATTGAAGTAGAATGGCTTGCCAAAGACTCAGTCAATATGTAGGGATCAAACTACACATCTTGAATCTTTTCCAGATCCTGTCTCGTGGTGAAAGTTGAAACAAATTCCTTCATTTGATTAAAGTAGAGAAAAGCATCAATATATGAAGTTTCATACTTAAAGGTCCATGTAAAGGAGAAACAGGAATAAAAATTACTAACAGGTAGTCATACTCAACAGAACTTTATTGGAGAAGACAAAATGAAGTTTCATTTTAACAGATAGTTAACAGATAGTCAACATTGAATTGACACCTACCAAGCAAATCATCACAAGAGATTTGTTTTATGTACAAATTCATCCCCAAAATTCCATTCCACATTTTCTTTATCTTGAAGTATTAACACTGTATAAAGTTTTAAGAACTTTTAGTAAAGAACATGGCATACTTACTTGAGTAACTACACAAATTGATTCATTATTTTTTTTTCAAAAAGAAACATAAAAAACAACATAAATACCAATGTTTAATTAATTGATTTTTGTAAGGAAATGGTGATAAATTGATTGATAGATTGATTTTTGCAAGGAATGGTGAATGATAGATTGATTTTTGAAAGGAAAAGGCGATTAATTGATTGATTTTTGAAAGGAAAAGAAAATTGGACATTTTAACAAATGCCTGTGATCATCACAACACACTCATTTGATATACAAGTACTTAACGGCTAATTATCTCATCAATTAAACAACCAATGCTGAATTACCATATTTATAACATATCAATACTGGACAATTCATGTAAGAGATGTAACCTACAATAGAAAATTAATATGAGATCTTAGTACAAAAACCTCTGGTTATAATGAAAGAACTTGGTATAACATGAGAGTTTGGTACCAATGACTCTCTGTTCAATCCAAGCTTAAAACAGGAGTACCAATGAGCTGCAGTTTACAACGCTAAACAATGGGAGCCTGTAGGAATGTGCTTCAGTTTGAAACAAGTTTGAATTTGGAGCTTACCGATGAGATCTTAATTTGTAACAATTTTGAAACAACAGCTCCAGGTCAACCAGTTCCTCTTGGTAACCAATTTGAATGAAGCGCGAAAGCATACCTTATATTCTTTCAACTCCAGGGAGATAGACATTAAAAAATCATAAAAAAATGATTGTCAAAGAGTGCATTTAACAAATACTTTTTGAAAGAAAATTTAACACTTTCAATTGATAAATTGATTGAATATTTTCTGCTTAGGCTGTTGTGACAGTTTTAAAAGATGCAACAAATATCAAAACATTTGTGATGAATCTAAATAACATATTGTGACTAGTTCGATTGACAGCTCATTAATATATTGAATTATTGTTTATGAATCTATATAAACATTCCAGGATTTAAGGTAGTAAGTGAAAATCATACAAGTTCAGTATCTATACATGCATTATATAACTCTTTCCACTTCTATGGAAACAAGAGTACCGCAAAGCAGAACAAAATACGCCTGTGAATATCCAAAACAGCAAAGGGGCATAACTCTTATTCAAATTGTCTAATCATAACCCCATTCAGGAAAACACAATTTCATATTATGGTGATTATGCCTACCAAGTTTCATAAAGATCGACTGAAAAATGTAGGAGAAGATCTCCGGACAAATAAACGTTTACGACGGACGCCGGAAGGACAGACAGCGCCATACTATAATACGCCAGTCTTTTGACGGGCGTATAAAAAAAACCCCAAAAATGCCTGCGCGCGCACGCACGCACGCACGCACACACACACACACACACACACACACACACATATATATAAACTCTAAAAAATATTTATCTGGATACATATTTAACAATATATGGCAGGATGAGAAAATTGAACCAGTACATAACATGAGTGTCTTTGAATCTAAAGATCTGTACCCAAACTGTAAATAAATGTTATTACCTGTACCAACATTCCTAGACATGGAGAGGTAACTGATCACCTTTCGAACCACAGGACACACAGGCTGCTCTGGTTTGGTATGTGATCCTTACCACAGGACACACAGACTGCTCTGGTTTGGTATGTGATCCTTACCACAGGACACACAGACTACTCTGGTTTGGTATGTGATCACCTTCCTTACCACAGGACACACAGACTACTCTGGTTTGGTATGTGATCACCTTCCTTACCACAGGACACACAGACTGCTCTGGTTTGGTATGTGATCCTTACCACAGGACACACAGACTACTCTGGTTTGGTATGTGATCCTTACAACAGGACACACAGACTACTCTGGTTTGGTATGTGATCCTTACCACAGGACACACAGACTGCTCTGGTTTGGTATGTGATCCTTACCACAGGACACACAGACTGCTCTGGTTTGGTATGTGATCCTTACCACAGGACACACAGACTGCTCTGGTTTGGTATGTGATCCTTACCACAGGACACACAGACTGCTCTGGTTTGGTATGTGATCACCTTCCTTACCACAGGACACACAGGCTGCTCTGGTTTGGTATGTGATCCTTACCACAGGACACACAGGCTGCTCTGGTTTGGTATGTGATCACCTTCCTTACCACAGGACACACAGACTGCTCTGGTTTGGTATGTGATCACCTTCCTTACCACAGGACACACAGACTGCTCTGGTTTGGTATGTGATCCTTACCACAGGACACACAGACTGCTCTGGTTTGGTATGTGATCACCTTCCTTACCACAGGACACACAGACTGCTCTGGTTTGGTATGTGATCCTTACCACAGGACACACAGACTACTCTGGTTTGGTATGTGATCCTTACAACAGGACACACAGACTACTCTGGTTTGGTATGTGATCCTTACCACAGGACACACAGACTGCTCTGGTTTGGTATGTGATCCTTACCACAGGACACACAGACTGCTCTGGTTTGGTATGTGATCACCTTCCTTACCACAGGACACACAGACTGCTCTGGTTTGGTATGTGATCACCTTCCTTACCACAGGACACACAGACTGCTCTGGTTTGGTATGTGATCACCTTCCTTACCACAGGACACACAGACTACTCTGGTTTGGTATGTGATCCTTACCACAGGACACACAGGCTGCTCTGGTTTGGTATGTGATCCTTACCACAGGACACACAGTCTGCTCTGGTTTGGTATGTGATCACCTTCCTTACCACAGGACACACAGACTGCTCTGGTTTGGTATGTGATCCTTACAACAGGACACACAGACTACTCTGGTTTGGTATGTGATCCTTACCACAGGACACACAGACTACTCTGGTTTGGTATGTGATCCTTACCACAGGACACTCAGGCTGCTCTGGTTTGGTATGTGATCCTTACCACAGGACACACAGACTGCTCTGGTTTGGTATGTGATCACCTTCCTTACCACAGGACACACAGACTGCTCTGGTTTGGTATGTGATCCTTACAACAGGACACACAGACTACTCTGGTTTGGTATGTGATCCTTACCACAGGACACACAGACTACTCTGGTTTGGTATGTGATCCTTACCACAGGACACACAGGCTGCTCTGGTTTGGTATGTGATCCTTACCACAGGACACACAGACTGCTCTGGTTTGGTATGTGATCACCTTCCTTACCACA